ACCTTTACCTCAAACGTCGGCTATGCATCCGGTACTAACCATCTGAGCACATGTGTTGGTGATGACAGAAAGAGCTGACTCGAATGTGTGCGACGACGTTCTTGCTCCAATGCCAGCTCAAACGTGGGCAACATAGCACCGCCAGCTGCTACTTGTAATTTCCGCGCTTTTCATACTGCAGGTGACAAGAAACAGCTGGCAAATCTAAGCGACCGCATCTCGAGATGGACCTGAATGCGAGACTGGGAGCCTTGGAACATGATCATGCTTGATCTAGGCAGGCTTCGAGTGCAGCAGCCCAGCTGGACCACTCCAGATTCAGATCAATGAAAACGCTCCGCTATGCACCAGATCACCTCGCTCAACCTGCACGTCGACATCCTCTTGTACCTAACGTACCAGAATCGCGGCGGCGACGGGCCTCTGATATCGGTGAGAGCAGCATTGAGGCCGCATCCAATAGGGGTTCTTAAATAAGGTGATCTTCAGGAGTTGCCTTTCGCTTCCGGCTGCCAAAATTGCAAGCAAAAGGTAGACCAAGAACAGCCCCCAAGAACACGCGGTTCAATGAAGAGGTCATGTCGAAAAAAGAAGTCTCGCAGCAGCTGCAAGCTTGTCTTCTCGAACCCTCCACGCCGTCAGCTCTTCAGCAATGGATCGTCAACTGCTTCGAGAATGAAAAACCATATGATATCTTATCTGTCCAAGACTTGGTCTGTGCTTGGGCGTTAAGGTCCCTGGATATCCCTGAGAAACAGCTAAAGACGACCAATTGAAACCTCCGACGAAATTTTCAACCAGGTGTTGTGCCAATGAATATTCTTCGCACATATTGTGGTGCCATCTGCCTTCCAGCATGGACCAATAGGCATACTGGATGAGAAGAGAACCAATCTCTTGAGACTGGAGAGAACTAACCGCTTGGCCCAGAGCTTTGGTGACTTCCAGGAGCTTCCAAATGCGATGGATGTTGTGCAAGAGTTCGGGGTAGCCTAGATTATCATCGCTATAATCGCCGGACATCTTTCGATAGGAATTGGTGCAACATTCTGCAATTGAGACCGTCGAGTATCGCAGACAGCATCAGCTCGTTATACACTTGATTATCAACGCCTAAACCATATCTGTGTTGACCACGATTCCCACAGCAATTGTTCTGCCAAGACTGTCGGATCTATCTCCGTTGTCTATCTTCAAGATCGATATAAATAAATATAAAATCAACAATTGCAAGCTTCAATTGGCAGAACCTTGAGGAGAGGAACGTTCCACAAACAGTGGTAGTCTTGGGCTTCTTAACCCTTGGATCTTTCTTGCAAAAGTCATCTCTCATGATAGAGGATTGTTCGCCCATGCTACGTCCGACTCACTCACTAATGCTTTTGGGCTCTTAGGTGGTAGACTTCGTGGAGGATATGCCACTGGGAAGGACTACGAACTCGAACGTGACGAATTGCTCGATCTGGAGCGAGATTCTCTTGCGTGGCACTTATTGCGCTTGCGGGCTTTGTGAGGACGTCCGAAGCCCATTATCTTCTTAGAGCACGTAATCGATTCGTTGGGAGACTCTGCTCAGTCGCAAGACCCGCTTCTCATTAAAGCTTCCGGCGGAGAGAGCGGGAGGAAGTTCATCCTAAGGCTAGCGGTGGATATGCGTCATGTTAGGGTGATCGTATACGAGAATAGCACCGTACCGGTCGAAGAACAAGGCTACAGACGAAATCCAGATATATCGTCTTGCTGAAGAAAGCCGGTCTGCTTTGCTATGCACTGAGGAGCTTGGCTGGATGTTCATGGTATATATTGACCAAACCGGACCATATCCTATTTCTCGTAAGGCCTGGTGGAAGCTCTGGAGGAAGACTTTTTCGACAAGCCAAGCGAGAAATCAGTCAGCATGCCTCGCTCTTCGCCCGAGGCGGAAGAACTAGACTTGTCCGAGAGACCCACCTGAATTTCACCAGCGCGAGTTCGGTCCGGTCAGCATAGGAGGAGCGAGTGGAGTGATAAGGAGGGCATTGGTACACTAACTCGTCTGCTAAGAGCCATCGCCAGGAATCGTGTCCGAGTACGATAGAAATCTACATACAATCGGCGCTTCCGTCTCTGCAAGACGAATGTTACATATTGCACCCGGAATTGGCACAAACATGACGTACAAGATATTTGGCTCTACAACGAGAACGAAACTAAGCACGAGAAACGGAGTGCACAGGAGCTGAAAGCCCGTGATGATGCTAGACGACTGACCTATCAACGTGAGAGCGCCTTTCACAAGTCTATACACCGATGAAACCTTGTTCTAGGTAAAGCCGCTCACAGCTCAACGGACTCGAACTCCGTCATCCCCTTCGAAAACACTATAAATATATATACAATCAGCGATGGGAGGCTTTAGTCCGCCAGATCCACATCATTCGCCCCTCTGATGGAGGGGATATCCTTCCCCTCTCCAGCCAATGCATCCCACGACGGGGCCAGATGAGAAAATGGTTCTGGCACAGCGACTCTTCTGGGAAATTGTGGCAGGACCACGTTACACTTTCACAGAAAGAGCCGGTTCAGCACAATGCCGAATCAAGTCTGGGGCGATTGCTTTCAATATATGAAAGCTAATGACGAATCCAATCTTCTGGAAGCTGTCTAGGATCATGCAGATGACAACTTGTCGATGAGCTTTGGGATGCCTGGATGCGGAAGATGATGAAGCCGAAGAAGAGCTCGTCCCCTGGTGACGACGAGGGCATTCGCTTGTCCAAACTTCGATCCCAAGCAACGAAGAAGGTAAGAGCTGATCTGCAATACCAAATGAATGCGATCGCTCTGGAGACCTTGCCTGCTGAGGCCTATGTCAGAGCCCGTTGGAACATGGAGCAAAGATGTTTGGAAGTTCCAGGGAGAGGAGAAATGCTTCTTGTGCGCATCCGCTCGTCGCCCCTCAAGTTGGGAATCGTACCACTACGATCCGACGGAGACGCCAGTCATGGCTAATGACACGGATTGGAACCAAGGTGAACGCCAGTTGGAGACTAGTGCTATGGCCGTCGAGACAAACCTCCCAACGACCCTTGCCATTTTCCTTGAACGACTCCTTTGAGTATGGAGTCGCTTGACAGGACTTTGTCCGAGAGGGGCAAGAAAGTCATCCTCTATCTTCTCCTGGCTTCCTTTCATCTTCCAGACGAACATCATTCTACTGCTACAACCATCATACGTCTCTTTTCTCTTTTCCGCACAACCAACATAACAGATGCGTTTTCAAAACACGACACAGGATGGAGAACATTGCTCAAGCCTACCTGACTCTAACTCAGAATGTTATTCGTGATAGTGCAATCCTGGCCGTAGTTGCAGCTGGAAACGGTCGTCCGTCATATTCAGAGCGACGCGTCGTGCCCTCTACCGGAGGAAACCACGATCATAGATGCGATTATTGCAGTCTGCATCAATCGCACCAATGAAGAGAACGTTCGACAAGAAGCGTACCACGCGGGTGCAGAAGCCCAGCGGCAAAGTTGCGAGGTAGCAGCGCGAAGTATCAAGCAGGATGCTTATAAGCAGGGTCGGAAGGATTAGTTCAAAGCCGACAACGATCATTTCTAGACGAAAGAACAGAGCCTGAAAGAACAGGTATACAACGAGGGCTGCCAAGCCCAGCGGCAAAGTGCCGAGGTAGCAGCGCGAAGTATGAATAGAGTTGTGGAGAAGGGGATATGGGAGTCGAGACTGAAGCTAAGAGAGCTCAAAGGAGGGGGGGCTGGGTGGTGTGTTACGGATACAGGACTATTGCGTTCAAGCGTATGGGGAGACAGTTTGGGGATGAGAAATAGGGTGATGAGCGCGTGTATACATTGCAGAACGACGAAAATAAGGACATAAACATTGAACTCGTTTTCTCCTTCTTTTCATGTGCTTTGCGTGTTGTGTATCTCCTCTCTTCCTTTCGGTTTCAGCTTTGAACCTGCGAACAACAATGACTTGCTAGTTAGCGTCGTACCTATCTCAGAAAGACATATTGCTGATCGAGATGAGTTTGCTTTGACGAACATGATGAATCTTTTGGCTTACGATTTCGAGTGCATCCACGTATCTTTGAGCGATCTTTGGTGCATTCGAGTCGAATAATTTTCTTTCAAGTATTGAGGTGAGTCTTTATTTCCATTTTGCTTTTGGAATCTCACATGCCAGGTCGTTTCCCCTCTCAAACTGGTAAAAGCAATAATCATTGATGGGTATCCAATACTTCATTTGCAGAAACATGGATAACTCAGCGTGTGGTATTTAATCCCTGGTGTTGAAAAGTTGCGACTTTCGCTTCAGTCGTAAGCATGTTCGGCGTTAAGAAGTTGATATATTGAAAGCTGGGTCATCTTCGAGGCTGAAATGCCTCGCCTCATCCCCGCTATTGTCCTTCGGGAGGATACAGTCTGCTCAGATACGGAACAACAAACACTTTCACGCCGCTGTGTCATAGTTGATTCTAAGACTACTCCTTAAAGCCCCTTCATCAATTCAAGAAGTTTTCAATACTTGGCGGACCTCGAAGAATTGTACCAGTACACACAAGTGTCCGATGAAAATGCGCCATAATGTACACCACGAACTGACCTACAGCCCTTGCATCGGTTTTCTTGAATTTATAATTTTGCAAAATCATGTACCAAACTAAATTGCCTACACTCGATTGATCTTTCGTGCCTAAATAAGCTCATGGCATTCCCAGGAGGCTGTATTATTGCATTAGATTCATAGGAATGGAGACAATGTTCTTAAGGTGCATTATGAAGAACGGAGTACTGGACGTGGCGGATGTGAAGGATATAAATACGCGCTAGTAATTTTATGATAACCTCTAGGACTAGCGTTCATTACAATACAGGTGTGGTGGAATCCCGAGTTTGTCTACCAAGGAAATTGTACTACCTATCTCGAGACGCTCGAAGGCTTTCCAGCCAAGCTCATCTCTTCTGCTGTGAGCTTAGAATGGGAGCAGTACCATCTCAGCGCATGGATTTCCAGCCGTGGGACGTGTCGACGACCCTTCTCAATTGAATGTCCTCAATCAAATCAACGCCCTCGATGACCTCCGAGATCTTGAACAGCCCCTCACGAGCACACGCAGAATCGCGAAAGACTATGGCCTGGAAATTGGCATTGCCGAAGAGGAGGTAGATGATGTACATCCCATAAAGAGCGTGGTGAAAATACTGTTCGACGAAAAGCACCAACGCTTTGTTGACAAAAGTGACGAAGTACATGCCAGACGAGACAGCGCTTGGAAAAGATTGAGGCGGGTAGAGCTTGATGATGTCACGGCTTCATTGCAAGTCTGCTTGCTCCCAGTGCTATGACCCTGGGACCAACGCGAACAAGCGCTCATCCATGATGAAGCCATGCCATCGGTCGTCGCCAGAAGCTAAGAGAAGGAAATACTAGATATAGTGGCCGAGCTGGAAGCTCGGTCGAACCGGCTACAGCAGCCTCCGTACGGCCAAGGCGGCATGGGCTCATGCTAGACCTGATTCCAGGTGCTCTGCGAGGCCAAGCACAAAATGGAGACCTCACAACTGAGTGCCCTGCCACGTCATATCTGTGGTTCCAAAGGTTGTCGAAAGGAGATGCAATCGAGCTAGGCGAATCGCTCAATCGACTTGAAACCCATTTTCTCGCATAGGAGGATATTGGCAATGTCACTTCATCAAAACTTGAATATGGCGTAGCCACTATCGCAACTTTTGAGCAAAGATGCGAGAGACTGCCTCCCATTCTCTCCAATACTTGGTTATTCAAAGGCTCTTCTTCTGCTGCAGCATCGAGACCATCTTCTACACATGAGAGACACCTGCAGTTTTCACATAGAGCTTGGTCTTCGGAAGGGACCAATGTATTGTAATGTATTGACGAATGCTTGAGAAGTGCGGATGGTTCCTGGAGCACGGACGAACTAACAAAAGGCTCGATTAAACCCCAGTAATGAGTCACTACCGGTTTCATAGGTGTTGCTAGGATACCTTGACGACTTCGCTCCGAGTAAAGGGTGCTTCAGCACACCACCATTCCTCAAGGAAGACGCGGCATTATGCGATGCCTTTGGTCCCACGGGGCAGACTTGGAACCCCAATGCTCAAGTCAAATTCAATGGGCACAACCATATGATGACATGATAGTATGTTGCTTGCCCTGGAAGACTCTTGATCAATGTGTACTAATGGATCCTTACTAGATAAGCCTGTATAATGTGCTTTTGGAGTCGGGATTCTCGAATGAATTTATGCTTCAAGCTCACTGCCCCACCAGCGTTGGATTCGTGGCAGCCGTTGGGGTCTCGACACTTCTTCGACATTTGGCCTTCTGTCTGCCCTCGTAGACAATTCCGGCAAAGGCTTTTCTCTCGCCTCAACTTCGGACAAAGGCAATACAGGTGGTCTTTGCATATCCACACTTCGCCTTTCGCCACCGTTACTCTTCATCCTTATCCTTAGGGTAGCCATATCTTGCAGTAATTGAGTTCCTCGCTGCTTTCGCGCCATATGCTTGCCGAGAGCTGTCTTCACATATTCAGAAAACCACAGCATTGGACTCAGACTAGGTATACATGCTTCACACGTTATCAATAGTGGGAATGAAATTCTGTATGTAAACCTACCGCACACCACAGCAACATTGACCTCGATATTTGACCAAAGTACAAAGAATCTGCGTTCTTTCTGGACGATGCAGACCAATCGAAGAGTCGAGATTGTTGTGACGCTGACCCCAAATCAGCAGCGTCTCTGACGCGTAAACGAGCAAAGTTCTGATGAGAATGCCTACCAGATACCCAGAGACAGCATTGCTGAGACTGTGATCTTCATTCGTCGATCGATGTCGGAGAGTCTCCAAATCAATGGAAAAGGCATGATCAGAAGCACCACGTCAATGAACAAATGCAGCGCGGTAACCGCGAGTATGAACGAAGTCGCATTGATTCCGCAGTCATCATGAGCAACGATGCATATCATTTGATCGTGAGATGGTCTATGCTGAGACTTCGTGCCTATGACCTGCAGAATGCCCATCAATCTCTTCGAGGTCTCTCAAGGGGGCTTAAAACGCACCGTCACTACCCCCCAGGCAGTCGATAAAAGCAAGCCTACGATGAAGATACTCCGATCTCTCTTCGAACTTGCAAAGAGGCGCCAATAGAGCAATATGATCGAGCATTGGATAGCCCAGATCGAGATGGCCCAGCATATTTCCACCGCTTCAAACCCAAGGGAATAAGACTGAATCCAATGTTTGGCATCTGCAGCATTCCCATGGTATGATGGTGCAACTATTGTATTGGCATTTTGAATCAGCCAAATTCTTGTGCATCAGTGGAGGAACAAGCGACTTACCGTCTGCAGCTGTAAAAGCGCACATGACAATTGCGAATACCTAGACGCCGCTGTCAGCAAGACTCGGATCCATCTATATACTGGTCCTCCGGGCTCACAGGGGCAGGCATTATGAACCAGTCGTCCCACCACAGTCCCGCATGCGAAAACTTTCGCGCGAACATCCGTAGACAGCATGCGAGCAAGGCGGCTGCAGCTGTCACCATGGACGCGCAATCAATCGTGGAGGGTGTCAACATAACAGAAGATGGTTGCCTTCGTGAAACTGGCACGATGGATGCTTGACGAGGACTCGAAATCTGCAAGGGAGCAGCGGCAGGATTTATGCTGGAGCAAATGAGAGATCTGTCGTCAGCATCTAGACCAGGAATGATATTAGGGCCGGGAGACCATGTGCTGCCCGCGTTTTCCGATCAGCATGCATGTCAGAAGGACGTCAAGGTCTCCATCTCCTCGATCACATCCTGGCACACCCCGCTTGATCTTGTCGTGATGGGTTAAGGAACAGGAAACCGACTCGGTGATGACGGATCCTTGGCAGGAAGAAAGCGCTTTGTAAAAAGCTTAGCCAGCATGACAGGATTCCATAAGCACCAAAACCTCATCGCTGGAAAACTTTCCAAATACACCAATCGAAGGTGCTGGTCTTCTCGACTTCATTGGCCCTACATATATCTCACCGCCACGTGAGACGGAAACACCCTTGGCTCGTCATTGGCGGGTCTGACATCCGGCGCGCAGATTTATGTGTGGCGCATGCGGTGAGACGGCAAAGATGTGCCTTTCTCTTGAGTTTCGCTTATCGAAGAAGTCAAGGCACTATCAAGGCAGTTATCGCCTAGACTTGCTTTTAGGAGGAGTTGCTTCTTCAGTCTTGGGGACTATGGCAATACCCAAAGTATACCGCTAGGATATCACTGCAACTTCCAACTCCTTCGTCCTCTCCGCCGTGACAACGCGGTATCGAGACCCGCCCTACGATCCTCATCCGGAGGTACCAAGACTAGCGACCCATATCCCACCTGCGCCGCCCCATTCGTACTCCAAGCCCCAAAAGTAAACAAATAGCCCCTTCCTGGCCGCTCTGCATATTCTCTGATCAGCGTCCTGACGATCGCATACAATTCTCCCCACGTCAACCTCGTGGATTCATCAAATCGATCCTGACTGCCAACTTCCAACCAAAAACTAAAACCCGGAGGAGAGGGATACCCTTCGATCTCGCGAACGTACGGATCGTCGGATATCCTTTCTAATGGATCTTCGTCCAGGGCGTGGTGGTAGCGCATATCATTTATGATAAATCCTGCATAGGTTGTCATCGCACGTTGAAGGAGGAACTGGTCGATATTGCTCTCGCCGTAGACACGGAGCTCCATGCGCCGGTCAGGAATCGAGATGTTCCATTGGCAGGCGGCACGCGTGAGTGGAGTCGCTATATTCCTATGGACAGTGAGGAGAGTCAAGTTCTTGATATTGTCGCGGACACGTACGACGGTGGCGTTAAGCCGGAATTGGCGCGCGAAGTGAGGGTTCTATGCGTGCAGGCATCGTTTGCACCTGGGAGGGTGCCTATCTGCGACTGAATTATTGCTGCAAAGACTAAGAGCAGAATGTAAAGCAAGGTCGATGCCATCGAAACGGCAGATATTGGAAGGAACGCAGGCATCAGCTTGACCAAATGGCTCCATGCGCTCTACAACAACGTTGACGCACCTGACATCATACCTCAGAAAATCAATGGACGATTATTGAGCCTGTGAAACAATACGACACATGATGCGGGATGTCAACAGCGCGTATTAATATTCGAGCAGCTACCGACTGTCTGAGACATTCCGGCATTACATTCTCTTGTACTTGGGGAGAATGAAACTACAGCCTAGGTATTCAACCCTTCTGCTCAGAAGCATCCTTATCAATGATTCCATGCAAGTCTGCTCGAGGACTAGAGACTTATCAAGCCGATATGTCTTAGGCAACCGGCACCGACTAGTGTCATTTTTGGGGCTTTGCACAGACACCAACTCACGCGCATGCCGTACCGTGAGACACGGGAAATGTTTTTAAAATTGTTTATAAAAGCATTAAGGCTGTCGTCGTCAACGACCAGTCCAGCCCGCGATAGCATCCAACCCACTTCTCTACTGTAACTCGTTTGCAAACCCCGGTGACGATGGTACCAATATTCACCTACATATTCCTCGCAACGGCAGTCCTCATGTCCTCAAGCAACTCATTGACCACAACTCTCCCCGGTGGTGAAAACGGCATCTGCCAACCAAATACTCTCCAACCTCTCAACACCATCTCCGGCTCGACGCCCCTATCGTGCGCATGGCCCCCTCCCCATCCCATTATCCCTAAACCCGCCGCCCCTCTTTGGCTAACCCAAACTCAACAGCAACACAACATCCCCCCTAACCCGCTCTTATTGCGAATGGAACATCACCCTCGCGACCCTCCCCATCCAACTCCGCGTCATCGGCCACCAACCCATCTCGCACGATCTCCTCCAACGCGCCATGACGATCTTCGAATCCAACGTCAACGCCGCATTCGCCCACTTCCAGCCCGACGACGAAGATCCCCTCTTCGACAAAGACCAGGACCCTTTCCAACGCTGGATCCAGGGCTCTCCAGCCCCAGCGGGCTCGGAGTTCGACTTCATTGTCGCTAGTGAGGATAATCATGATCCGTTGACGAGATTGTCGTGGTTGGAATTGATGGGCATTTTGGCGGCGTTGAGGACGGGCTATGTGGAACAGCCGAATAGGAGCTTTTTGTTTAGGTTTGAGGTTTGGAGGACTCAGAGGGAGCCGGAGGAGCAGGTCGGGTGGGGAGAGTTGCTTCTGAATGCAGATGCGGATAGTGGTGTTGCGAGCCCGGAGAGTGCGGCGACGGGGAGGCGGAGGGGGCGGAGGGGGCGGGTGCTGTGAGGTAGTCTGTGAGAGCACACCTGTTTCCAGCTACGATTACGTTGTGATTCTTAGAGATGGATTCCCTGCGTGAAGATGGATAGGTCTTGCTTCGCTCTCTGCGTTACGGCAGCAGTCGACTGCTATCGAGGGTACCTCCACAACTGCTTTTCTTAGCTGACAGGGTGGAAAGCGAATGATTGCGTATGATGCACTCGATTACGCGTGCAAAGTGAAGGGACTGCTGCCCGGCATTCTATTGACATTATTCACTTTGGACGCGTGACGTAATGTGGATGTGAAGTGTTGACACTTCCTCCGTACCTCTTTCCTTCTTCCTTCTTCCTTCTCCCTCTTTCATCTTTCATCTTCCTTCCACCTTCCTACCCTCACTGCACCTTACACCGACGAACCCCATCACACTCGCAAGCCACAAGTGTCAGAGATGGGTACACGAGGGCTCCATATCGTCCGCTATCGTGGACGCTATTACATCTACTACCACCAATTCGACAGCTATCCTGAAGGATGGCCAACCAAGCTCGTCAATTCCATCCCTAAGGATCGCGCAGTCTACGAAGAATGGCTCAGTGCGCAACGCGCTGAGTATGAGCAGCACGACAGCTTTTTCGATGCTATCACAAGTGTCCTCCCGATTGAGCCTGAATCCGAGGACGATGACACCAAAAAGCGGCAGATCTCAACCTCCGCTGACTGTGCAAGAGCCCCAGATGCGGAATACTTTAGAGGGAAAGACTGGTGTAGCATGCCAGGTTACGCTACTCGCTTCAACGATCTCGACATCGAAGGAATTTACACTATTGACCTCGACCGTGAGATCTTTTCGGTAGACAACCAGGTTCATTTCAGGCTTGATCAAGTCTCTCGCGTGGACTGGCTCTCTGTCTTCAGCACCCGGGATGAGGATGGAAACCGCATTCGCAACCTTGAGGCGGTACCCCAATCTGCACTGGGCATGATCGCCAGGCCGCAAAAGCCTCTGAAGCCAAATGCCATCACACATTTTCTCAATCTCAAAGCTACGAAAGTCGAGTCGAAAGGTCTCGCCGGATTCGCACCGTCCCAGCGACATGGCGTCCTCTTGTGCGCTACCCTCTTCCAACGCTGGCGCCGCGACGTTATGCCGACTGCGGAGCATCTGATTGGCAGCTGGACGGTCAATGACAAGATGTTCCGCGAATACGCCTTCATCGTTCTATGCCTCGCTTCCTTGAGCTGCAATGTGGACATGGAATTTAGCGAGGATATGAAAGGTGAGTCTCGGCTAGGGTACTATGATTTCGTCGTCGGTCCCGATGAGCACAAGACGTCAGAATTTGTGGCTCTGCCAGATTTTGGAGCCCACCTTGATGGCAGTTTAGCGCCACCTTGGCCGACAGACTCAACCTTCGAACTGGAAGGGGCTGTAATACGCCTCGTTCCCGATCTGGAAGACAGCGATGGCCGATTAGAGGAGGAGCTCTTGTCCTTACACGAACACTGTACAACTATGTATCCCAACGCAAGCACGGACGCCATCCTCTTTTCGGTCGCATCGGTTGTCCTGGTGAAGATCAAGGCCAATGGCACCATGAAACACACCGATATCCTGCCTATCTTCGACTTGACGTGCGATCCCACAATCAACGAAGGCATGGAGCGTTCTGACTACGACCCTCTGATGCCCTATCAAGAGGATCTTGGGCCGATGGGCAAGGCACCTGGTTCTGAGCCACCCAAACAAATGACGTCAGAAGTTAAATTGATGGGTCTTTTCAATCAGATGATGTTTGGCCCCGATACTGATGAAAACTCCCGTAGCGTTGCTGCCGGATTCCGTGAACTCCAGGAAGAGACAGGAACTTCTAGAATCGCTAATTCAGGGACAGAGGCGGCTGTTGTAGGAGAAAGCGAGACAGTAGGTAGTCATGCGGACACACATGAAGGTGATGGAGACAGCGCAGCAAGCGATCACGAAAACAGACAGGAGGCTAAAGATGGCGAAGTAGCAAGCGGTGGAAAAGGAGAACATGAGGCTGATGCAGGCGAGGCAGTCAGCGGAAAGAAAGGATCAGAGGTCCCAACCGAGAGTTTGCCAGCTCATGCCCCTGTAGCAACGACAATCACTGATGAAGCGGGACGCAATCATCGGCCAGGAACGAGTGGCCAAGAAACCGCGACGATTGAGGGTGGCGATGATGGACGCATTAACCAGCCCTCGACTCTTGACAAGGATGTCACGCCCACTGAGAGCAGCGAGGAGGAATGCAACGACCAGCCTAAATCAAAAGGTAAGGAAAGCGCGCCCATGACTCGCCACGATGAGGAACGCAACGGCCAGTCTGAATTAAACAATGACGAGATCGCAGACAAGGACGAAAATGGCAGCGACAACGAAAGCCAAGCAAGCTCCTCGCCTACGATGACAAACACCGGCTTCTACGCCCTCTCCCACTTCTTCTCGTCCGTAGCGCGCAAGCGCCTTGCATCCTTCCGACATGCCCCCTCCCCAAAAATGCCACTCGAAGCCTACCGCCTTATCATTTCCCACGTCACCGACCACCGCACCTTCCGTGCGTGCATGAACACCTCACTACTATTCCGCGACCTCTGCATGGAGAGACCGCTCTTCTCCACAAATTATGTACTCCTCGCCAATGACGCCAGCAGGGGTGATGTGGACGCCGCTGCAAGAATGGTAGAGGAAGAACGGTTGGTTTGTAATCTTTATGATAGGGAAGAAGAGGAAGCGGAGGAGCTCGTGGTAGGGACTCTGCATCGGTCGATGTTCTCTAACAATGGGGGTGGCGAGGAGTATTGGATGGCGGTGCTGGGTAACGAGGAGCATAAACGCATGGCGCTTCCGTCGACGGCGCTCGTGTGGAGGAAGAAGGAGGAGTGGAGGAAGAATACGTTCGAGGTTCGATTATTGAGTTATCGAAATATTTGAGGGCGGAGTGGTTGGAATGGGCATGTTTGCTTGGGAGAGATGCCAGGGGAAGCCGTAAGGGTGATGAAGCTGGCTTGGACGATGGTGGGGGCTATGGTTTTGCTTGCAGGAATGGATTGCTGAACGTGCGATATGAAATTAAACATGAGAGGCACATTCGCTTGATACAGAGAGGAGGATGACACAGAGAACTAGAGAGCGATCCTTACTAGTCTTTCTTGAGGGGTGCGTGTGCTTGATGCACGAAGTTGCTCAGCCTACAGTAGTAGGAGGTAGAACTTAGAGATCAAAATCGACATCTTATCACGACTGTCCCCCCTCTCCCCCAACCCTCTCCGACCATCTCCCTCGATCTTTCTCACCAATGGTCGATAGAATCTAGGCGCCAACACTCATCTCATCATCTCATACAAACAGACATGAGTATTACGATTTCTGTCAAGCTCGAGAGTCCACGCCTCCTTTTTCTCTAAGTAAACACTCTGGAAATTGGAGATATGGTTGTTATCATCGCTACGAAGGAGTAGGGGAGGGGAGGAGAGGGAGGAAGGGGAAAAGGGGGTGGATATGTTGGAAGTTACTGCGCTGGGATCGGAGACTGGTGGAGAATGGTCTAGGGGGGGGCAAGGCTCATCTAGGGAGGTGGGAGATTCTTCTCTTTCCTCACGACATGGAGGAAGGCACTACTCTCTCACAGCAAAACGTTCAACAGCAGAGACGAGACAACACACGCCATTTTTTTAATCATGGTAGGGCTGGTAGGGCTGGTGGGGGTGGTAGGGGTATCATATTATTATCGTCCGTCTCCCCCAGCCCGCCATCGACGGCATTAGATCGTACAGGTCATCCCCCCGCCCCCATCTCCTACCCCAACCCCAACCCCAGCCACTATGCCAGCTTCGTCCTTGACGTCGGGGTTGGGGTCGGGGGTGGGGGTAGCCGCCCTCAACGGCGTCGATCCCAACGAATCATCCCAGCCCATCCCCCTCCCCGTCCCCATCCCCCTCCCCCTCCCCATCTCCCTCCCCGTCCCCATCCCCCTCCCCGTCTCCATCCCCGGTCTTGAGCATTTCCGCATACTCACCACACCCCCCTCCTCCGTGGCGGCGATCCTGTGTATGTTATCCCTATGATACCATCTTCTCCTTCGCCTCCTTCCCCTTCCCCGGAGGAGGAGGAGGAGGAGGAGGAGGGGGAGGAGGTGGAGGAGGTGGAGGAAGAGGGGGAGGGGGAGGGGGAAGGGGAGGAAGGCAAGCGCGGCAACGGTTTCTGGAGACTCGCGCTCCGTTGCCGGTTTGCTTCGATGTCGGCGTTAGTGTTGTGAGGGAGTGGTTTCCTTGTGATATGTTTCCTGCCCTCGTCGCTCGCCCGCTTGAATGCGAATGTCTGCAGATCGTCGCAGTCGGTTAGCGCGGCTGAGTACCACGTTGCGTGGAAGCGGCCGCGTCGGGGGTGTGTTGCTGTCGTGGTGGTGGGATTGGGGTAGGGGTGAGGGACAGATGCGAGAAGGGGGCTCGGCTTCAGCGTCGACATACTGGCTGTCGGTAGACTCTCACCCCCTCCACCTACCCCCTCCCCCCATCAAATCCACCCCCACCGCCCTCCATGACCGGACTCCACTTCTCCCCCCCGCCACTCCCCCCAAAATTACTAGTCGACACCCTCTGCCAAATCCCCGCGAAAAAACTCGCCGGACTGCCCGCATATTTCGCATTGAAAATCGGCTTCAACAACGGCACGCACGCGCTCAGAATCCCCACATTACACTCCACATTGACCCAGATCCCCGCATTGATCGCCGTCCACGTCGCATCGCCCACGTCGATCTGTGCCAAAAGCGGAATCCGCACGAGCCCCGCCACGCACACGAATGAGCCGAGCAGGAATAATCCCACTACCGCCACGCGCCGGGGGATGGTGCGTTTGAGCCCCCATAGCCATGGGATGGGCAGGATTAGCACGATGATGTCCGTGACTAGCTCCGTGCCTGTTAGTGCGAATCCGACGGTTTTGTCGTCAGAGCAGACGCCGGAGGGCAGGGATTTGTCCCAGTAGAAGGCTAGGGGCCGACAGTGCAGGAATGCTACGAATAATGCGCCGAGCCACCAGAGGATGTTGACGATGCCGACGGCGAGGGCGACGAGGGTGAATGTGCGGTATGGGAAAAGGCGCCGGTAGAAGAACAGGATACTCAGTTTTATGGCCGTGATGGCGCAGCAGAATATCGTTTGCTGCGCTTGTTCCGCTTTGATGAAGGTTTCGATTTGTGACATCGTGAGCGTGAGGATGTGTCGGCCTGCTCCTGAGCGGATTAGGAGGAAGGAGGAGAGGTTTAAAGAGAAGGTGAGGAGCAGGGAGAGGAGGATTAGGAAGTCGTCGGCCCCGAGGGGCACGCGCAGGAGGCGGCGGCAGAGGAGCCGGGAGCAGACTGCTAGTGTGGCGATTAGGAGGAGGAGAGAAATTGCCGTTGTTAGGTAGGTGGATTTCGAGGCGTGCAGGGAGGGGATGTAGGTTGTGCAGAGGCGTTCGGCGACGCGGAGGGTGGCTGTGGGGGAGGAGGGAGGGGTGAGTATGTTATGGTTGGTTGGAGGGTTGGGAGCTTGGGGTGAAGTGGGGTGGGGTGGAATGGGGTGGTAAGTACGCACCATCTTGATCGGAGCGACTACAGCTTTTGGAGATTTGGGTCAGGATTACGGCGGCGTATTTGTCGCTGTGGCAGACGCATTTGAGATCGTCGCCGCACCCGGAGGCTTGGAGACCTTGTTGTACTGCGTCGACCTGAGAATTGTAAGTTCCAAGCTGTCTGTTACGACTTTCAAGGAATGGTCTTCTATCGTGATGACATACTGCGCAGAGCGGAAGCGTCAAGAGATTGCTGAGAGCCTCCGGGGGCAAGTTGGCTACGGACATGGTACTTCGGTAGGGTATTCCTGGTGAGCGGCGACGGCATTGTCTAAATTTAGCAGCGAGGGCTGTTGAGCCTCATCCTATGTTTCATGTCCCAGTGTCGATTGGGTATATCGAAAGGCAGACCTCAACGCCGCAAAGCAGAAATGCGCCCCCCAGACTGGAAGTATTGGGAGGATGGAAAAGGTCGACAGAGTGGACGACAAGATGGACATGTCATCACCAAACTTTAGGCTGTCAAGCTTAGGGTTACTCCACAGTGCCGTGACCGTGCTGAATTGCCTTTTCTCATACGCGCAGGAATGGCGGAGCGTCATGCAGAACATCGTATCGCAGCCGAAATAATGGCGCAGGAGATACGACCAGCTTTCTCATCTGACATGTGCGCTTGAGGAGTGATTTCTCGTGTACAGAGCTCGGAATTCAGGTAACGTTCTATTCTTGTCTCTATCATCGTGCCGGGATCATTCGAGGCAGATCTGGAGAGCCTGCCGTACGTTCCTGCGTGAGAGGGAACAGAAGAGGGTTTGGATTTAATTGCTCTCCAATCTCCATCTGAAACATAGCCGCAAAGCTATCGGAGAATTTAAGCCTCCAGTAATTAGAACGAGAGTCAGAACGCGGCATCTCCTTGACTTAGCCGAGACATTGCCATTAGTAGTATTGTTGGTTGGTGGTGTCTGTGTGATTGGGTGGCCCAATTGTGAGAGTCGACCTACACACACGCCATCCACGCGGCGTAGCACACCCTTCGATTGTTTCATGCACGCACCTACCGTGAGCGTGACGTTTATGTCGGTGGACGCGCGAGAGTGCCGTCCAGTTGCGGGTCACCCCTTGGCTGGCGAGATGGTGCCGGTCTGGGATGCGCGCCAATCAGCAGATGCGGAAGCCACGCGGCACAGCAGGATGGTAGCTCTTATCTTGCATATAAGTTCACCATCTGAATCAGATGCTGCATGACATTCGGTCTACTGGCTGTCTTTGGAAGGTGCGAGGGGAATAGGCCGGGGTGCGGTATGGACTCGAGAAGGCAAAGCCTGATAGTACAGCATGAGCAGTTCTGTCAGCAAGACGGCGATGACTGGTTTATTCACACATGTACATCGTTCGAGTTGATGGGAACAGGCTGACCTCCTGAGACTTCAGGGATATGTCTCGTCAGATTGCTTATTGGTCTTTCAGGTTGCCAGTCCAGAAGCTGGGGTTATCAGTCGCACAACTGAGGGATGTTGGAGCTTGATCAGATGCACATCACTATATTGTGAAGAGATTCCGATGGACTACTCGCCAGAAGTACTCAATATTATGTTGAAGGGTACATCTTCTCGTAACAAGGATTTCATTGTCGACCGGTGCAAGGATCTTTGACCGTTTACTAAATGGCGCCTCATTGATAGATATGGTCATGTTAGGCGGTATTGTGACGATGAAGAGACAACCCATGTGAGTATGCTCACGTGGTCTTTGTCCCTCGTTTATGATATAGCTGGTCAAATGAAGCACCCTCCCGAAAACTTGGCGCTAATGATTGATGGATTCTTGGTCATATCAACGCTTTCATAGTCTCTCCAATACTGAAAATCTCTGGCTAACTCTCGACGAAGGCTTGCTGGCCGCTGTTGCTTCCTTGATAGTCCAGATTCAAGCGATCTTCCCCTCGAACAACATTCATAGATTGAGGAAATGTCCTCTGCAGCCTGGCTTCTCCGCAGTGATTGTTTTCGTGCGAAGGAAGCCGTATAAGGCAGGGTCTGGGAAGTGGTTTGTATCTACCTTATCAGGATGGACGACTTCTCACCCATTTCGCAGTTGCAACCCCCTTTAGAGAATGAAGTGCTCAAGCAGACCTACCCATCCGCCCTTCAATTACTGTGTTTCATCAAAACCTGGAAATACATTATCGATGATACATCTCAGCCGCCTACTATAATGTACATTGGAAATTGGGATGAACTTGTAAGCACTATGATAGACGGCCTTAAATGGCTACCAGCGGAGCGCCACACGGGCAAGCATTCGTACGCTCAATCGAGCTTAGCGCAGCCCTACCCGGCTTGGCATTCGGCTCTGTTTGCCTCTGGTGCCTCTGTACACATTCAATCTATCGTGACTATTGCACATGAGCTTCCTCACACCGAGCATCTCGAAGATCTTTGGCCACTGATGGGTCATTCAGATTTCAAGTGATTTGTGGCGCTGGTCAGAACAGTCTCGACCATCGACCTTTCTAACCGCATGAGCACCTTCAACATGCAGGGGACAGCAATACCTCGACATATATCGAGGATAGAGAACTTTCCAGCTGAGATTAGAGAGTTACTGCTGTACCACGTACCGGATGCGCACAGTCTCAGGTCTCTTGCTTTGACATCGACAACCTTCTTCAGCACCTTCCTCGGAGCCAAGGACCCAGTGAAAGCCGTTCTCCGCAACGAGTTCTCACCAGATGTCCTTTCTGATGCCCAAGCCGCACGATGGTCTGCCAAATGCGGGACTGAGGTGCAAAAACTGAAGCAGCCGAGGCCAGAAGTATGGCAGGGACAGCTAATGGATTTTCTGGATAAGAACGTCAAGACCTCCTGGGCATTCTCCGACTCTCTAGCTTTGACTGAGCTTCGTTTCTATGTCGACTACTTCGCCGAGAAATATTCTCGCTCTATCTGTGATAAGCTCCAGATTGCAGGACACTTACGACCGCAAGAAGTGGATCGAATTAGAACGGCATTCTACCGTTTGGAGACTTATTCGAACTTACGCGAGACTCTACTTTGGGACGGCATCTATCCTCAGCTCGAGGAGATTCGAGCGATGTTCTTTGTTCACTTCGCGCCATGGGAAATCGAGCAACTTGTCGCAGTCTATGAATTCCTCGTCACGGTAGTCTCAGAAGGTAAGATTTCCGAGGCCAGAAATTGTCTCCTTCCCACTTCGCAAACGCAGCTAACAGGCCAAAGCGCAAAACGATATCGAAGCACATGATATTGAAATCGCCAACAAGATGGACGATGTCAGATGGCTAGACGATGGCTCCAATATGAACGTTCGGAAAGAGCGTCAAGTATTCCGCGGCCTTGCATTTCTCTATCATCTAGATCAAGCCAAGGGATTCCAAGAGCGATATGAACTCTTATCCCCGGTTTACTACGAGGAGTGTGAGTGCTCGCCCTACCACATCAATTGTTTAGAAATCTTCTACCACCACCGCCACCCATAGCGAACAAACAGAAGCAAAACTAACTCCCCATCCCATTCAGACAACGACTTCGCGCAAAATCTCCCCCAAGGTCGCAGAGCCCCGTCTCTCGGTCGCCCCCTCCACCATTTCAACGACACCGACCTTATCAACAGACTTTCCACCTCTCGCACTCATAAAACCGACACCGCGCCTTTCACAGCCTGGAAATGGGCGCACGCAAACACCGCCTTCAACGCGACATCCGACCTCCTCTCCCAAGCCCTCCTCGGCCAGCGTGAGTGCTACGCCCTGCGCGCCTCCGGCTACACGTTCCTCTCCGCCGACAGCGTTGCCACGCATTTCACCAATCTCGGACCACACGCATGGGACATGTCGTCCTGGCCGTTCCTGCAAGACAGAGCTAAGATTCGTGCGAATCGTGTTGTGATGGACAATTCTATTATGAAGAGGAAAGACTTGTTTTGGAAAGGGTGGAGAGGGTGGTATAGTGAGGGGGATTACAGTCGGGTTGTCCCTTTCACGCATTATAAGACGAAATATTATAATAAAAGTAGTGATCGGGGGAGGAAGGGGAGGTGGTACCGGAGGAGTAATGTGGCTGATGAGTTGGTGGATAGTCGGCGCTTGGACCAGACGGATTAGGTGGGTTTGCGAATAGCGGTGGCGTTTGAGGCGGGCAGTGGATACTGGTCTTTTAAGTGGATCATTTCATGGGTTGATTTGACTTTTTACAGCAGGTGCTGGGAATGGAAGCTCAAGTCACATGTTTGCACGATATAGCCTGCGAAGAATAATGAGGTATAAGAAGGCGGTGATAAGAAATTCTCCAACAAGCTTAACCTGGTTTGACTACTCCTCAGTGATACTATTACCGTATATCTTAGTCCCTAGCTCAATTTCCCACCCGTTATCACTTTGGCGATTAAAACAAGCCCCAATTCATGAATGTGATTGAGTTCGCTCGGTCCCCAATGTTCCTGCCATTCCCGCAAGCAATGCCACGCCGCCCCATCACGAACATCACCTGCTTCAACTCACCCAATCGGTACCATTCACTGGATCTATCCTTTCCACCCTCTCTATAAGCGGGGGGACTGCAAGGTAGAAAAGCTGTCAGCTGCCTGCTCCAAATCGAAACGAAACATAGGGGAGCTCAGGAAAGTTTGCCCTTCCACAAACCTCCACCTCCACCTCCACCTTCACCTGAAAAAGTGTAATCGTGATTTAAACGTTCTCTTCTCGGCACATATCAATCTGCGCGCCCTCTTCCCAGTCCTTCGCATCACTCAGCCGGGCTCAACGCGCCTCAAAACCTCTTTCCGCTACCTTGAGATCCCAGATTCCATACCTCTCCCCTATCCGTTCAGTCTACTTCCATCTTTCCCCCCTCCTTTTGCCCCCTCATATCACACTTCCCATTAAGTCCTCAGCCCACACTATCCCCATCACCGCCCACCATGGCATCCCCGACTGACCATCCATGGGCGTGGGCAGACAAGCTTCACTGCATCACCATCTTACTAGGCGCCATTTTCGTCTTGTCGTCTACGACGCTTGCCCTAGCCGCGGTGACGGCCGCGCAGCTGCACGGCGCCGATCGGCTTGAACGTTACGAGGGAGACGGTGGTACAGGATTTCTTCGTTCGACGAGGTGGGTTTCTTCCCTACATATTTGCGCGTCCATTTCCAAGTAATGGTCATCGGCACATTCGTACTCATTCAAAGGGGAGCTGACACCGGAGGTCCTAAGTTGGATCATCTTCTACACCCTCCCCGCCCCCTTCCTGAGCACCCTCCACAGCCTCACTGACATGGCGCTCTTTCGTAAAAGACGTCTCCATCCCGTTCATGCGATGGTAGGCTCGACGCTAGGGTTTGCTGTATGGTTGGCCCAGTGGATCATCTGGTTCACGTGCGAGTTCACGGAGAATGGGCGGGGGTTTTGTCTTCAGGAATATATCGCCGCTGATTCTGTTGATGAGGGGGTTATTAGTGCGAAATTTGCGGTGGGGTTGCTGGTTTGGGTTAGGTAAGGAACAATTGCCTCATCGTCGTCGACACTAATGGCATCGACCACTCACCGTCTTCCCATGATCTCCAAACTACATTGCTGACTTTATCTTCCCTAGCTACATGGTGTACATCGGATTCGCTGCCACAAGCGTTCACATGGCGCGGTTGGAGAGGAAGTCAAGTTGGATGGAATTGGGAGATCTAGTGGGGCCTAGAATGTAGTTACCGAGTAGGCTTATTATATCAAAGTCATTTACCATGGCTTCTGAAAGTGCAAGATGTGAAGCGAGTTCTGCCTAGATTTCAACACGCCCAGAAGCCTAAAGTCACTTTAAACATTTGTGGACTTTCGTCTATCAAGCCTCAAACTTTACGTTATCAAGCCTCTCTGACGGTGATAGTTGCAAAGTCAGGTCATATTTGTTTTGACGAAAGGCCATTGCTAATATTCATCTGCGATTGTGAATATACGCAGACGACACCAAAACCACAAGGTAAGATCTCGTTCAGAGATGCGCCTATGTCAGGCCAATGTAGATGAGATTAGCCATCGTTAGGGTTTTTCTACAAAGTTTAGGCTGACACAGAAAGCCATCAGACAGCAGGACTAGAATTTTGGCGCTCCACAATTGGTACCACCACTGAGAAGATACGGAGCTTAGCATGACCCACTCGCATTATAAGAACTCGGTACCCGTCTACAGCTTCCACTTAGCATCAACAAAGAATCAATACATCAATTCAAACTCCAATCCGAATTGAAATCTCGCTGTCATGTCTTCCTTCCTCCTCATTGTTGGCTGGGCTATGTTCCTAGTTTCTGCCATCGCGGTGCCCACCCAACTAACATCCAGGTCCTACAATGAATGGCATGATGGTTTCGGAAACCGACTTAGCCGCGATGAGTTCAGTATCCTGATCAGGCCCGCTTTCAACAATAGACGTGTCACAATAAATGGGCCTGTTGCAGAGGTAAGCTATGTTAGAGTCCCAGTATGATGATACCAGAAGATCTTTGCATGCAGTCAGTCTATATTGAGCCGTTGCATGTGAGATCAAATTTGGCATAGCACGGGCTTTTCAAAGCCAGAGTGATAGGGAATACGATACTCATGAGATGAATATGCCATTATTCGACACCCCCTTTTCAAATTTGTTTCTTTGCCAAAGATCACAGGAAGACAGAGCTGAGCAAAGCCAGCACTTGCAATGACTGATTTCTCGCATTGTCGATCACGCCATCCCCAGACAAAGCTCCATAATACTAACTCTCACCTCCCAGCTCTCAACCTTCACAATGAAGCCAACTCTCGATTCCAACCAAACCTCATGGCCCGACGACTTCGAGGTCAAAATCCAACACATAATCTGCTACACCCTCCCCCTCCCCCTCCCCAACCAACCCCCATTCCAAGAGTCCGACCACCAGACCTTCCCCGTGACCCTCCCCTGGCAGCCGTTCGACGAGACTTTCAATGATCCTCCGCCCATTGTCATCTCGCCAGGCCATGCCTGTACTTCGATCAAGAGCTCCAAGAATCGTAATTATGATGGTCTAGCAGTGAGGTTTGGGGACGTTTTTTTCGATGTTCCCGCGGAGTTGAGGAAGTTTGACGAGGCGAGGAAAGGGAAGGGGGGAAGGGGGCTAGTGATTATGATGCGTTTACGGAGGGACGTTGTCGGTATATCAAGAATGCTGGGGTTAGCTGCTGGCTCCCGCGAGATGCGACGCCTTGAGCACCCGGGAAAGGGGATGATTACGCTTGTCAATATTGAGATTGTTGGGTGGGATAAGGGGTAAAGAGTGAGGGAGATGGTCGGATTAGTAGATGGTTGGGGTAAGTAGTGGAGACAAAGAGGTAGATAGAGTATTCAAATGTGACTCATTGATCTCTGTAAGAACGCTTCGCTTAGCATCACCTTACGCACTCAACAATCGAAGCAGAAAATGCCCTGGTCATATAAACTCGCTGACTCCGTTGATGGTATCATAAATAATGTGAGATTCGTTATGAGAAGGGCAGTATGCACCTCACATTATGCGAACGCCAAAAAACCCTACATATCTATATGAGGTAAAAGAAATCTAAGAAGCACAGATTGGAGCTGCCGTGGTACCAATTTTGGGTCGTGGCTTCGCCTATTCCGTACAATGCCACCACATGAAAACCCCCTTCCTAGATAAGGTCGAATTCTGCCACTATCGCATAAAAGATAGGGGGAGCGCTCAAGATCAACGCAAAATGCTTGAGTACAATTCGGAGGTAGCGTCTGAGAGAAAGAGGGAACCTAGCGGTGATCGTGTGAACGGAAGGGTACTTGGTTTATCAGTACAAGTACGGCGGACGATCCGGAGACATAAGCTACATGATTCATGAGATTGCTGGCTACGGCATCATCAAGAACAAAGACTTCGACCCTGTGAGAACAATGGCCTTTACATGCCCAACCCGGGAGTAGATTGACGCCTGACTTGAGAGACCCACATTGGAGCGCGATGTAAGGCACACACGAGCCTAGCGTTTCTAACAGCAATGCTCATGACATTGTACTCATTGGCTGTGATACTACAATTCTCCAAGCAGACACGAAGCACGATAAATTGGCTCAAATGCGTTAAAGGAGACATGTTCTCTATCTTCTTGTCATTTGCATACGAAGCAAAAAGCGTCAACTCCCGATGTCGGACCCACCAAGACCCCCACCCCTATCAGACCGCGAGGTCAATCATCTGATGTCCTGCAGTTATTCGGAAACGTATTCCTTCGTCTTGTACTCCGTATGCCAAACGATCCTGCTCTGATCCTCCTCGCTCCAATAGCCCCTCCATCCTTTCCCGAAGAGCTCCTGTCTTCTCTTCTTCGATCTCATCTCTTTCCGCCACTTTCCCACATCCACGTCTCCGTATGCCTCTACAGCATACCATGGGCAAGGGTTCGAATCTGTGAAGAGACTGTGGACTCGGTCGAGGTCTAGAAAGACATAGCCTTTCTCTCGCAGCTTCTGAGAATTAGGTGTACCGTATAGGTGCGGAGTAGGCGAACCGTAGAGGTGCGGAGTTGCAGCCGCACTACCAGGATACACTGGTGCGTCTGCGTGGGCCCATTTCCATGCTACAAAAGGGGCGGTGTCGTCCCAGGCGGTGTAGCGTGTAGAAAGGTTACTGAGGAGGTCGTCATCGGAGTATTCTCTTAAGGGCTGCTTGATATACTCGATCCATCGTCCGAGGGCGAAGACAGGACAGAGAAAACTAGCTGTTAGGAGTGTGGACGTCAGTATTGTGAGCACAAAGTGGAAGTTACTCACGCAGTCAGGTGAGACTCACCATCATGTCTTCGCACTGGTGATAACAAATTGACTCGTCCTTCAAACGACGTGGTTTGATCCAGCTGCTGGAGAAAGCTAAGTCCTCGAGAAAGTTGATGGTCTTTGTAAATTAGGCTGAGCCATGAGTCGACTAACCAATCTAAGTCTAACATCCTGTAAGCTAACTCTATGTCGTGTCTTGCTAAGTCGGTGAATGCTTCAAGCTGTTAGTGATAAATCGATCATCTGGTGCGGTGTGCTTCGCACAGGCTTACCTTCAGCTAATCTCGAGAATAGGAAGTCTTGCACAGACACCATTTGTTCAACCTCCCACGGCGCCAACTGGTTTATGGAAAGAGCTTGAAGCTCTTCAAGAGACGGCCTAAGACGACGATGCCCGCCGTACAGGTTACAGTAGGTTTCTATACGGTATAAAGTCCTCCTGATCCGATCCAACTCTTTTCGCCGTAGGCTCTTAATTTTGAAATCTAGACTCTTGCAGATATTGACTGAATATTGCTGGACGAAGTATTCGACAGGAGAGCGAATCTCACTCAAATGAAGAGAGTCTTGGAATTGCCATGGATATACTCTCGACATAGCTTTGTTGTCTAGGAGCGACCAGAAAGTCACCTTCTCCTCCTCAAATCGATTCTCGAAAAGCCCAAGATCAACGCTCCGTTGTGCTGCCTGAGCATGAGGTAAGACATCTGGTCCAAACTCATTGTGAAGGACAGCCTTGATGATTAGATCTTGAGCTCCGACAAACGCCTTGTAGAAGGTGGGGGAGCTCACTGCGAGGGATCGTAGGGATTGAACATCAGGCGTACTGGCCAGCAATAGTTGCGCGACTTCGAGAGGGAGTTGTCTGACCCCTGAGACTAGTTCCGTACTATTCGTGCCCTGCATCGCCCAATTTAATTGTGATTGAGATGGAACAATCCTGTCTAGGCACCGAAAGTTTTCAGCAATATTTTGGACCGATGTCATGCGTGGTAAGAGAGGGCTGGGGGTCTGAACAATGTCGTACAGTGTCGAACAATGAACTTGTGTGAAAGGCAATGATGTGACGACATACATGAGGAAAAGTGTCGTACAAGCTAGATCAAGTGATGAAGGGCATATATTTTGCCTTCAACACAACGCTAAATATAAATTACATGACTTATACCATTTCCATGCCGTGAATTGTTGAGAGCCCGCATCGTAAAGCAATTTCCGCGAAAGAACAAAGGCTCGCCCTGCCTCGCTCATGGACAGCAGATGACTGTTGTCCAAGCTATGCAGATCATTCCTGCTCTCGAGTTTCTATCGAGAGTACGACGGTATTGCCAGCTTCAGCCCAGATGGTCACAGGCACACGCCTCTCTACGCGCGTTGTGCCAGCACAAGTACGCCTCGCGCCCACCCTCTTCACGCTTCGCCCTCCCCTCCCGACTCGTTGAGATTTCTTCCCTGACGATTTGGGACACTGACCGCAAACCGTCGACTCAAATTCGAACGCGGACGCATCGGATGCTGATCATCCAATCACACAATGGTTATCATGAGGAGATCTAACAGAAGATAAGTAGAGCAAAATTCAAAGGACATCGTGCCACGGAGCACGGGGCATGAATGACTTGAGACGATGCTTGTGGACTAACGCGTACACCTTTCTCAAAAATTGGTATGTTGAAGAATTGGACGACGAGCTGGAGGTTTTCGAATACCGTTGGCAAGCGTCGCTTCCTTTTCTCGTGGTCGCCGCATCTGGTGAAGGCGAAGGGATTAGTACATGGTGACATAACGCTGTTACGCCTAGCATGGAAAGGAAAAGGATCCCTTCTCTTTGAAATAGCTGACGAATATCATTTGAGGTATGAGTGTCATGGTAGCCGGTGGCATGGCAGACTTTTATGGATGTAATGGCAGGCATTGACTTGACATAGAAGATCTCGTTAGCAAGACGCAGGTCAATTGCTCGTGTTCATTAGTCCCAGAAGCCTATGGCTTATGATTCAACATCCAGATTAGCTCGTGCAAGTTGACTCCTGCATGTTCAACAAATCAAAATCACTCAAGGATTTCAAGCACGCATGGTCCATTTGCCAAATTCTTCCATGATTCCTCGCTTACCCAATTGTGCTATTCATGTGTCAGAGTCATAATCACATTCTTGCTTCATCGACTCCACCTCCTGCATCTTTCGTCTCCGCTCAATAGTACCTACTATCAGGTGGTGGCGCCACATAGTCATTCTCCTCCTCGTCGTAGTATCGGCGACGGCCACCACCAACATCAATCCATTCGTCACGACCGTTCTGCAAACGCTGTCCACCGCCGTAACTTCCAGTCCGCTGGAAGTGCTCGCGAGACTCACGATGATCACGGGTTCGCTGCTCTTCAAATTGCTTAGCCTGCCTATCGATGGTTCTATATTGGTCACTGCCACGAAATAAGTCAGTGAATCCCCACGCCGGTTCTGATAGCTCCGACTTACTGGTGACGCTGCCAATCTTGCGGAATTCCGCCGTCGAGTGAATGCTTGTGGTAGTGCGCCTGACGCCCATACTCGCCAGCCCCAGCCATGACACTCCTTGCTTCTTGGTAGTGGCCCTCTCGTCCCTGTTTGCGTTGTCGGCCAATGTGATCATTCTCGAAGTTCATACGCGCCGTTGCTGCTTGCGTGCCAGTTCGATATGCCCGATCAGCGTATTCGTACATGTCCTGATGGCCCTGCCGATCAAATTTTGCCCCTTTGGAGCCGTTGAAAGTGTTGCTCGTTTGCGAACGGCGTCGTGCTACCTGGTCCCTAGTCTTATCAGTCCATTGCAAATGTCATTCGGCTCACAAGAAAGCCCTCACTCGAATGCACTGTTCATCACGCCATAATCTTGATGCATTTTCTTGTAATCTTTGTAGTCTTCTTCCATCACACCACCTTTGGTAAATGGTTCTGGTAGAGCATAGGGATATTTGCCTTTGGGCTCAACTCTACCACCAGCCCTATGATGGAGCACACCGTCACGGTCCTTTGGGCGGGGGAAACCATCTCGGTAGTGATGGCCGACCGTTAGGTGTTTCTTCATGTAGCTGCCCTCCTGGGGTTGGTAAGAACGAGGGGTTGCATCTCCGTCTACCCAGTCGTCATCCCATTGGGAGGGATCGTGGGAAGGATTCATTTGATTTGGCGCTCTGGAATTCTTTGATTAGGATGAAAAATGCTGGAGGTGTAATGATGATGAAGGAAAGAAAAGGCAAGAAGAACATGAGGCATTAAATATGCAGGTACGAATGCATACTCTCCGTGACGCTGTCCGACACGACCCTCACTTCAAGCTTGTACCACGCTCTGTAAGTCGATATGTTGCAACTATGCGCGTGACCGCATTTTGCACTCCTTCACGCATTACAAGTCATGAGCCAATACATCCATGACATGATGCAAGGCTCGACACGAGTGAGATACAGGCAATGTTTACCCTAATCTGTCCTGATCACGGCGTATTGCCGTCAGGCACTGCGTGCAGCTGACTTCCAACCTGGTGAGGTGAGAAGACTTCAAGGCTTTTAAGACTTCTAGTTTGTCATCAGCTTACGATACAATGCTGAAGACCACCTCTCATGGACGTGATGTGCCTTCAAAGTAATAAATGGAATGGTAAATTACGATATATCCTGTTAAATTACGTCTAGCGCGGGACACAAGGGCGAACATTGCCTTCAAATCCTCTCTCGTGTTGTACAACATTGAAACTGTCAACACCGGATTCACACGACTACAAGATCATAGCGTCCATCCCTTCGTTAATTTACGTACTCCTACAGCCCTCGTACAGCACTCTCAACCTTGACTTCCAAGAGTATCATCACTATGGCGACTTGGAAGGAGCGTCTTCCCACAGAGGTCGCCCAACTCATTCTCTGCCATGCAACAGACGCAAAATCACTACAGTCACTAGCGCTCTCATCTTCAGTCTTTTTCAGAAGCTTCAAGGGTGCAAGGAGTATCATTCTCCTTGCCGTCCTCGAAAATGAAGTCGGACAAGTCATGATCCCTCATGCGCAGCACATGGCACGCTCTGCGAACCTCCAAATTCCACTGTACTCGATTGAAGAAGAGGTTCAAGAAATACTAAGAGAGTCGCGAGAGGCGAACTCAACTCTGTGGACCTTACAAGAAGCTCTTGAGCTCAGCCGCCTTCGGCCTCACCTGGAATACTTTGCAGATCGCTACGCAGAGTCAATATGCTCTGCAGCTAAAGGAGGGTTGACATTGATCCGCCAAGTGGAAAAAGACCGAATTCGATGCGCATTCTATCGCTTCCAGACATACTGTAACCTTTTCGGTCTTTCCGGGAACACGTCAAATGTTCGGCCAGACTGCCAAAGCCGGAAAGAAGAGTTTCTTGATAAGCTCCCTCCATGGGAAGTAGAGCAGCTAGTCTCGGTCCATGAATATCTCCTTGGGATACTCTCAGAGGGTGAGTGCCATCCAAACAGAGGCTGTGCCTGCGCTGACAAGTGTGTAGCTTTCAATGACGTAGCTGAACATGACATCGAGCTGGGAGAGCTCAATGTCGCGTGGCTTGGTCGTAGTACGAATGATCTACGCTACAAAGAGTACTTCATGTCATTTGGGCTTGAATTCCTCCACAAAGTAGACCAGACCAAGGATTATGACAAACGATACGCTCTTTTCGCCATAAAATACGATTCAGATAGTAAGTCACCGACGCTACACCCATATCTCGGGGTTTTCTTGAAATCGCTATACCTCATCTTGTGCAACGTGCTGACTTAGACCTTTCGACAGGAGACTTCCTCAGTGCATCATTCGAAATCGAAAGCACGATCGAAGAAGTCGACAAACCACTCAAAGACTTTGCCGACAACCAAATAAAAGGGTGGTTTCCAGCTTCTAGTTTAGCCGATACCGACGATGGACCTTTCGAAGCCTGGAAGTGGGCATACGCTGATTGCCATTTTCTCTACGATTTAACTGAGTTCGTTCGGCTTCGAAAACTGGGATACGTCTTTCTTGACGCTGATCGGTTGTCGTCATTCTTTCTCAACCCCGGCAATGCTATTCTCTGGAGTATGAACTGGGATGAATATTTTGCGGAGCAGACTCAATTACAACTTTTTCAACATAAGTCGTTCGAGAAGAGATCGGAACTCTGGGCCTCAGGATGGCGAGGCTGGTGGAGCGAAAATGACCAGAGCAAGATGGTGTGGTGCACGGAGTGGAAGGGGAAGGGTATGAGCTAAGAAGCCCTCGGTTCATGCATGCAGGTCGTCAGTACTGCTCAAAATCATTCGCTTTGGTAGGCGCTCAACATCTCTCGCTTTTCAAAAACTTTACTTTCGAATACGACGCTTGCACACGAATCAGGCAGTTTCAATCATGACTAGCTTCTCATAAACATTCTCTAGGTAATGGACAATAGGTCTATATCACAACCTCCACCCCACGATCAAAAGCATCGCATTCCATCGCATGTTATTGAATAAGTTGAATCACCTCACATTGTATCTAGAGCGTGCACCGGGCCACGTCACAATGTCAATTGACATTCTTGCACCAACGCCTTCACTTTCCTTGATGTCTCTTCTCCAGCAACCAAGTCCCACTATCGAATTCAGACGAACGAACGGGACAACACCCCCACCAGTCCCCATCCCTACCTCGTCTAAACGCTACACGCAATATGTCAGCACCCCATCCACACCTCGTCTGCAGCTCACGACCATTAAAAGCCACGTCAACCAGCCACATTCTCAATTACCGTCCCATCTCCACTAAAACAATAAGAGCGCGTCCAAATGAACAAAACAAGAGCGTTGTTCTCAAATAGCAATATCCAACCAGCACACATCCAGGCGAAACAGTATGCATGCCACAAGACAGGACGACTTGCCTTACTATATCTGCACATCTCTGTCTTAAGGGTCGAATTCCCAAATTCATAAGCGGTGGTCCACTACGATATTGCCCTCCCCCCTCCCCCCCCTCCTCGTTGCCCCACGTACCCCAACAGTCTTCCAGTGTGAAACAAGGAAACAGTCTTTGACGAGATCGCTCGATCTGAGTTTATGCTTATTGCCCCAACAGATTTCGTCCTTCTTGAAAGTTATATTAGCGCACCGTGCGTGGGCTAGCTGGCACACAATCGTTACTACGTCGTCACATTACCCGCTACATTTCCACAGTCTTATCGTGTGGTCGTTACTGGAGCCATTCGCCCCCTGGTGCCCTGGCCCTTATCCGCAACTCCCCATGCGAGCCCTTACGCGATCGTTGCACCCGTATCGCGCAATGACACTGCCTGCGCATCCTTCCCGACACCTGCGCAGCTGTTCTGGACTGTACTACTGATTTAGTGCTAAGTGTCGGGTGAGATTTTTCTGGCGGGGGTGGGGATAAATGAGGAGATTGGCTTGTGGCTCGTATGCGTCTGTGATGGTGCGAGGCGGCGTCTGAGACTCTTGATGGAGATGATGGGGGTGTGCTTTGCAGGAGAAAGGATGGGGAGGGTGATTTGGTGGGGTATGTAGGGAGGATTATGGGAATTGCAGGGATAAAGGAACATTGAAATGTAAGTGGAAGAGTCTGGGTTATATGCACAGCGCGGGTTTCGATATTGATACCATTCTTTTTGTAAAAAGTCTAGAGGGGTGGAAAACCACACCGCTTAGGACGCGAAAGGCTGCTCCCGCTTGAAATACCACTGTACACTACCACCCTGCTTCTCGACATGTCGGTATCCTAATACGCCCTCAATGAACGCGATCGGCAGTACTGGGCTCAGCTCGATCCATTTGAAGTGCTCGCTGTGTCGCTCAATCGACATGCGATCTTGGAGATTGCCGTAGCCGAAGTTGGATCTGTGAAGCTCGACTTTAAGGAGGGGTATCTGCAGTCAGTTCAAGTCAGCAAGTCAATGAATTCTTTCAATGGTCAGCACGTAGGAGGGTTACCTTCTCTGCAGTATCAGGATTGCCCCCAATATGCTTCTTCAGGTAGCGGAAGAGCAGGTCGAGGCTCGGTTGGTGGCTGCCTTGGATGGAAAGACGGTCGGATCGGAGGTCGATGATCATGTGGTAGGGGACTAAGGAGCCGAAGAGAATGTCTGGGCGGGCAAGTGTGTCCAGTGCGGGAAGACTTCGCGGGGGTGATGACGTGACTGCAGCTGTACGAGTCGCCATTTTCGAGGCGATGGGAGCTTGTTGAGGCATTGCTGTGGTTAGTCTGCGGCTCTCGAAGAAGTTGTCAAAGTCATCTTCGAAATTTGGGGGAGCATATGGCGGCTTGGAATCTGGGATCTGAATCTGGAGTGTAGGAGGCGATGTTGACTTCGAAAGGATTGTCGTTGGCCTTCCGAGTGGGAAAACCTGGTGCGCTGGTTAGTGACCGCTGTATGCCACTTTGGTGCACTTACATCGACAAATGCATGCATGGATTTCCCATCAAATTCCTCGAGAAGCTTGTCCGTCCAACTTCCTCCCTCATCCTCCAGTCTTCGCTTGAGGGCGTTCGTCCATTGCTGGATGACGCCAATCACGGTCGGCACGAACACGTCTTGCTCTGGAAACGATGTTTTGACTTGATCCCATATGTTGGCTACTGGAAACGAGATCTCGATCTCCAGGCCTAGAAGTTCCTTCAATGCAGCAATCGACGCTTTGGCTGGTGACGCGGGATTTTCCCAGTGGTCTCTCAATTGTACGCGGAGTTTAAGGGGTCTGCCATCTCGTAAGAATGATACCGCGGCAGCCAAGGCTGTGCACTCACAATTGAGACATGTTTATTTGACAAGTACGGTATAGATCAGTAGAAGGGCGCGTCGCTTCCCATCATGGAGCGCGTCTCGTGAAGGTTCGACTACGAGGAGCTATCTCCTCGCCGGCGTCCCTAGATGATGGTGTCGCCGGAGCCTAACAGCGCCTCCCGCGCGCTATCTCTCAGGAGGTGGCTGGGCCCAGCCCCCGCCAAGTAGAGGGACATGGCCCGCTCAAGAGGCTCCGTTGATAATACAACTACCTATCTGAGTGTCAATCACCGTGAATTGAAGATGTCGAACGGGAACCATAGTCCTACAATACTCACGCCAGCGACCTCCGTTGCCCCAAGCACAACCGGTGTAAGCGACAAGCCGAAGCTGCCTCTTGCAGTGAGGAAGAATGGTACGCAACCAAGAGATGTTGATTGAAACGTGCTAATCTGTGGTGCAGTCCGAGATAATTGGGAGGCCAAGCGAAGTGAACTAGAGGCTCGATTGTCATCAGTGCTTGGGACACCTTGGACTGCGGCGATAGATCCTGCCGAGCTCTTCAGCTTCGCTACTGGTAACCAGTATGCGAGCCAGAATATGGGCGAGATGATCGCGGAGTCAGTTCCTAGTCCCCATCGAAAAATTCATCAATATTGATGTCGCTGTAGATACATATCTACAGCCACCGATCGAGTTACGGAATTCTCAGAGAAATACGGCTCTGATGGCATCAGCGACCTGAACAACGTTGCGGGGCAACACACCATCGGGATCGCGCATACATCAAGATCTGACGTGAACTACTCCGGATGTGAGATCAGTAATGGATGTCTATTGCTCTTGTTCAAAGATGACGGTCTCGGTGTCAATATTTACAGTGCTGCCGACGATCTTGCCATTGCCGTTGACAACGCCGAGGTTGTAGGAAATGGTGGGGATGTGACCAAGCTCGGTTTCCTCGCCCGCAGCTCTATCAAGGCAGACTACGACCTCAAAATCGACGAGGTCAAAGCCGACATCCAAAAGACTCTTGATCTGTCAGTCTTGGAACTCTCCCCTGGCTTTGAAGAGAATTATGCCAAATTGGCTACATACGATGCCGCGAAGAACTATGATTTTCCGAGAGACTTCAAGGAAGTATTCGGCGATTATGTCTTTCAGTATTTTGAAGGGTTCGCAGAGGCGCTGAAGGATAGCGGGTTTGCTGGTGATGATATGATGCAGGAGGGGTTCAAAGAAGCCGTGGAGAAGAATGAGATTGGATTGCGAGTTGTCGACAAGCTTGAAAAGGGCGACTATAACGAGTGCGTGATTGAGAATGGTGTGGTGTATATGCAGACGACGGCGGAAAATTGGACGGTCAATATTCGAGATCCAGCACGGAGGCTCATCGACCTGCTGTGAGGCGAGAGAGTGTCGGCGAGTGGATCTGGAGTACTGCCTATGCTGTTGTTTAAGTCCGCCCAGATACCGTGATGTATCAATGGCAGAAAGTATTCATCGTTGGTTTAGTCGTATCAGTTGGATACAGGTCAAAGTAGAGCGACGCAAACGTAAATGCTTTGTTATGTCCAAATCAAACTAAGAAGAAAAACCGGTGTATTGATATTTAGCGTGCCAAGCTTACACCAACATTTTTGAGGGTCTGTTGACGTGATTTGTAGATTCATTTACCATCAGACAACAACCCTGCGCGGAAGGCGGTTGGCGTGCGCGAGAGCCTGTCCCCAATCTTCCCGCTGCTCCAGCTCCCTCGTCCATCTTTTCGAGATGGACAGTGCTCCGATACTGATGATCCTTGGAACGCGTCGCTCTGAGACGCAGAGGTCGTACCGCACGAGTCTTAACGTCGAATCCATACTGAAAGAGAAGGCTCATGGTACACTGTGAGGTCTAGGTAAAGATTGGTCTGGAGATTGGGAGAGATCATGACAATCAGAGATGGGTGACATGCAAGTGGTCCAAGACCCGAGGTCCAATGGATGAGGATGGAGTTCCACGAGATATTGAAGAGGCCTGCAACCTCAGAAAGACGTGATCGCGGGTTAAGAGCAGGTAATACATATACTGAGAGCGTGGCGGTTGGACATTGTAGCATATGCAGAGTCTACGGTGCTCCAGCAACCCCGTCGTTCGATGATCACGTCTCATTGCGACGTCCGAGGTCAGCCGCTGTCAAGGTCTTGGTCCGCGAACATATCTGAAGCACCATCGATGCGAGAGTCCTGTAGCTACGTGTTGCTGATCTGTACCTACGACGAGCTGGACTGGATGTGTTCAGGCTAGAGATCAAATCAAACAGGAAGCAAGAGCTGGTGGACACAACGATGATTAAGAGCCGAGGATACTATACAGAGCGCGCAACAAGGGACTCTGCACGGGCATCCTTGTTGAGAATTGTGCTAAAGGACAACGGTGTGAGTATTCAGGCATCATGCGATCTCGCATACCTATACATCACTGCGAGGTGTCGTAGAGATCGTTTCATGGCCACTCCGTCGATGATTGGTCGGAATCTCGTACATGTGGGTGCTGAGACTCTAGATGACAATCCATGCTTTATTGGGGGTCAGGAAACGAATGCGACCATTCTTATTGGGCCTTTCAACCCGATGCCTCGAAGCGATCAGTTAGCGCTGAAACTCGTGTCACTTCGCTTCTAAAAATCGCTATACGAAGCTTCCTACTACTTAGTGAGCATGGGTCCGTCTACTTCCGCGCGCTTTGATGACCTTGCTTTCTCTTCGTCATCGCGCGACCATGCAGATATCTCAATGTATTTGTCGATTGGTGGTGTTCTTCGTTCTATGTCCAGACGCAATCGTAGCGCTGTCTCTTGGAAGTCCGGGTCTGAACATATACAATATTTCAGGCGCAAGCTCATCCAAGAGGTACCAAAAAGGCGGAGTACCAGGATTCATGTCATTTCAACGCTGACAAAATATTAGTTCTGGGACCCCTCCCCTGCCTGGCGACGTGAATTGGCATTTCCCTCACACGGCGATGTCACTTCATTACATTTCAATACCAGACTCAAATTTTATGTCGACTCGAAACGTCCTGCGTCTTCTTGTAAGCGTGTATATGGAGTTGCAAGGTGACATTGAGCAACGTGGACAAGACGCGCCTTTTGCACCCAAAAAATGGGCCAAGCTCACAGACGAAGAGATCATCTTGTCCCCTAGCGACGGTTTTGAAAACGTATTCACCCTACGCGGCGCTCAGCTCATGGTGACTGGGTTGCAGCAGATTATTGCCAACTGGGGCGAGATCCGCCCTGGTTCCATTGAATTTTGGAACAACACGAGGAGCTCGGAAGCTCCACTTGGTCTAGGACTTTTGTACATGGGAGATGGCAATGCCTGATACATGAAAGACTATTTGATTTCGAGATATAAGCACACGGTCACCATGCCGTTCCTAAGCCATCATCATTATCAACAGATTGTATGGTGGTACCAGCCCGACTCTTCAAGATCGTAACAATCCCGTAATTGACTCTTCTGGGATTCATTTTGAACAAGGTCACTTGTACCTCCGCGAACCTCTTTTTATCAATCATCGCAATGACCAACTTTTGAAGACTAATCGACACGTCACCATAGAAGACACGACCTGCACTCGGAGACTGTTCCCTCATGCCAATATACACCTCCGTCTCCGAATCTTCATAGTCAAATGCAGAACAACTCGCAGCCGCATCTTCCACTGCTATTCTTGCTAGTGCTCTCACAACCGACACAAACACCTTGATCGAGCCTAGAGTTTTTGCACCTTCAATCCATTCAACATCAAAACCGAAACCAGAGTCAACACCTGGTGAATCAATAGCTCCCGTCCCATCGCTTCCGGTTTGTCTCGACTCTAAAGCAGTCTGCCTCGCAACAATCGTCTCATTCTTTGAGGAGGTTCCACCTGAACTGAGGCTATCCACGACTCCATTACTTTGCCTAAGCGAAAATGTACCCACGACGGCCGCGCGCTTTTGCTGCAGAATCCGCATCTGTCCCGCCGCTTCCTTGTACTGCCCACTACCACCACTACCAAAGAAAATAGACACGAGACGCTGTGTAGCCCATATGATATGGCAATTGATCAGATGTGGGTAAATTGTTGTTGAAGCTTGGAAGCTCATGTAAGGGGGTAAATCGAAAAGGTGGTAGCCGTCTGTGGAACTGTAGCATGATCGCTGTGAGAGTACGATGATTGCGTCAATCGAGTTGAGATAGAAGGAGATTACGTTGATGTCACTGTCATATATGGTTAGAAGGAGTTTGAAATCGCTGGGGATATTTTCGTCGCCGGTGAGAAGGGTCGTGTTTATGGACCTTTCATATTGTCAGTGATTTGGTAACGATTCACATGATCTACGTACTGTGAGACTTGTGCGCCATCAGCATCCACTGGTAATGACACTGCAGTACAGGCCAACCAGACATAAGCCCAGCAAACAAGAGACCTGAGTATCTTGAGGTTGCCCATGCTACCGATTCTGATCGTGGCTTATGAACCTGCTCATAGAGCATTGGAAACATTTCCTACAGTGACCTCTCGATGACGCAGGTCAAGTCCAGGCGGTGGTCCTATTTTAAGCGTGTAAGACAAGACATTGCCGTCGCCAGATACTTGTCGCGCAAGAATGCAGGTGGAGGTAGCGACGAAAACCTCCGCACCGCGCTTCGAACGACGCTAGCTTAGAAGGGACCAGCGATTAAGTCAGCTCGATTATCGAAATTCAATTGTCCGTTGCATACCGGTGAAAGGCTTCAAAGCCTTAGCCAAGGTACAATGTCGTCCGTCGTATTTAACAGATCGACAAATTTCCCCACGACGAAGATACATACAACGCAATCTCTTCCACTGACTCAAAGACCTGCACGACTTCTGCAACAGCAATATCATTCGCATATCTCCCAACGAACTCTCCTCCACCTCCCCCTGACCTGGCACGACGCCCACGCCCACCGCGCAGGCTACCTCACCATCTCTCGACTACTTCTTTTTCTATAACGTTCCCATCGCCCTGGCCTCCGATGGCACGATACATTGCTCGGGCGCGCACTCTCTGAGAATACGCCGAGCGAGGAAGTATCTATCCTAACAGGACACGCTCGCAACGCGATCGACGGACTGGAAACCCAGCTTGAAAGATTACACCGGAGAGTGCAATGCGAATGTGAAAGAGTGGCTCGTATGGCTCTCCTACGCCGAGCCCGCCGCGCTCAGTGCTAGTCCCTAATCGAGCGTGCTGCTGCGGCTGGGGCGGAGGGGGAGGTTGGGGCGGCTGCTGCCATTGTGGATACCAAAACGGATGGTGGATACGCGAAGATTTTGAGTAATGAGTAAAGGACGGGGGTGAGGGGGGTGGGGGTGGGGGGGGCTCGATAGAGGGATTGCCAGACCGGATTTGATGCTGTATATGCTGAAGCAGTGCATTTTTGAAGATAATAAAGAGAGCGAGCTGGATATGAATTCAATCTTCCGCATAGCTTTGAGCCGTGGAGGTGCTTGTGCGAGGGGGAAATGTGAGGTTGATAGGTTGACTGATTGTGTTTTAGCCTTTTTGGGTGGGTGCGAGGAACTGCCATTTCAAACATCTATCCCTGCACACCACCAAATTCTCTATCAAAACCTATGAAAACTGTCGACCTTGATTTGGTCAGCATTGGTCAGGCATATCCTAGAGGTGCACCAAGATCCTTACCATCATGGATGTCCGACTATCGTTGCTACATCGACTCCATCAGCTGAAGGCTAGACAAGGGTCCTAAGATTGTTGTGCACGGTCATGATCGTTCCTACAACTCCACGGATTCGAGTCGTGCATTTGCGACCCGAGATAAGAGCCTCGACATTGCTGTCAACGATGTACTGGTGGTTGAGATTGAAGCACTGACTGATCCCGATAAAGGCATGCAAAATGGAAGCGCATTCAAAAGATCGTACTCAGGCCTGGATAATGGTCGAAGAAGGCAGAATTTTGTGCACGCTGCCACGGCCTCTGTTTTCCAACAAAGGAAACCTGCAAGCAAGCTTTCCCACGGTTGCGAGTCGTCGACTGTCTTTCCAGAAGAGCGAATTTGTCCCACCACCCAAGCTTAATACGAGTAGTATGAATTGGACGCCCTATATTAGACAAATTGAAGGAGTTATCTGAAGAGCAGCAAAATACACTAAAATGCAAAGACTCTTCATAACAAATGCAGGGTACACGTACCTCTGCAATGTGATCCGCGTACTGATTCCAAGATGCTAATGCGATACAACCGAATCCCACAACACGTATATAAGCCGGCAGTTCCGAAGGACTAAGTAGAGATGAGAGATCAGCACAGATGGGAGAGGAGTGAACACGTGATAATTCGTAGCGAAGCTATCGGATCCCTTAGCGACACGCAACAATATCAGTCCAGAACAAAACCTCCGATCTGTCGCAACAGCCAATTTCACCCCTAACCTCCGCCAATCTTCCCGCACGATCCCGGTGATATGGGCGTCAGGGGTGCATATCATCGCATGCCTCGAAGCCGCTTTCACCGTCGTCTGGTTGGGTCGTATTTGCCAGTTACTGCGGCTATGTTCTTGTCCGGGACGATCTTCGCGTAGGAGTGGCGCCAGCGATACTGCTGACTTCCCTCAGTTTTTTATCCTTTGTGACCGTAGGTGACCTATACTGCGGAGGTCGCGGTTCTGGGGATGCTGGAGCGGGGGATGGGGGGGAATCTTGCGTGTTTGCTCGGGACTCGAGATGCCCTTTTCGGGGGTGCATTGGGTGCAACGGGTGCAATTCTCTTGTGGCTGCTTTCCTGCATAATCATTGTAGTTAACCATATGTTTAGTTTACTTTTTATACGCAGTTTTGAGACTAGCGCAGTCAGGGCGTACTGTTGTTAACCTAGCGCAGTCAGGGCGTTGGATATCCGATGGAAAATTATCTCAGCGCTGTCAACACTTTCGGAGATGAGGCTATAAGAGTGTGGGTGACGGTTCGGATGCTGGCGCTACGACTACATCAGTCTGCAGAGCTTGACGGTTCACCCTTCTCTTTTGCCATCGGAGCAGGAAATTTTGGAGATTCGGCGTCTGGGAACGAAGACGGCAATTGGGATTCGAGAGATGGATCAGAGGGTTGCGCTGAGTGTGGATACTTATGCTCTGGCCCTCAATGTGTATGGCACGGCGAAAAGTCGGGGCTAGGTGTTACGTGAGGGTTTTGACTTCTTGTTCAGCCCGGTGAGTCGTTGCGCCTGCTCATAAAGTTATTGGAGGATCTTCGAGCCTCCGCCATCTCCATCAGCATTATGAACGCCTAAAGGTAGACGTGGGGTGGCGGTGTTGGGAGGTGGAGGGGTACTTATTGAGTGAGGAACCTATGTCTTGTAGGTTCGAGTCAGTGGGAATGGCGTTGCTGATGGGGGCGGTCCTTGTTTGGGAGGTCGGTGTCGATGATGGTGGGATTGAGATATGCATCAACAGGTAAGTCAGGGCTAGGAAGGAGCTGTAATGCTCCATCTCTAATCTTCGGTCCAAAAGTGTGTCTTTGTGGAGGGATGCAGAATGAAAATGGGCTTCACAACTAGTTTGAATGCCCATACATCTCCGCCTCAAGTTAGGTATTCGCTTTGGTCATCTTTTATGGAACACGCTCAGCATTTTCACTTGGCAGAAGTTGACGTGCGCCCAAGTGGTTCTGGATGTTTTGGCTTCTCTACCCATCATTCTCGGCTATTCAGGTCACATTTACTGTTAGTTCTGGGTGCCATTCATATTTCCACAGGGTCTTCGGATCTTGATGGGTCTAAGTGATAGACCATTCAGTTTTCCCAGGGCTCTTGTTGTCCGCACTAGTCGATCTAGTGGTGCGGAATAGCTTATAATCACCAACAAGCCTTAAAAAAAATTGCAATTTCGGACAGCAAACTTTTAACAGCTCAGCGAGGGAGCAAATTGCCTCTTCCCGCGGTTGAAAGCCCAGAAGAGCTACTTTTACTGACGCGAGGGGCGGAATGTAGGCAGATGTACTCCGAAACCGACGACACAGAACCGTCTCAGCGTTGAGAATGAGGCTCCAACGGACCGTAATAAAATTTGAGAAGTCTTAAAAACAGTTATGAAATTTCATCGTAGGCGAAAGTCCTTTGTAGTCTTCCGAAGACTCCACTCAATGCCACATAAATCGGAGTGGCTTTTGCGCCACCTTGAAAACCTCGGGGAGCCTTCCCTCTCGTCCAACTAGCCGTTCTATGACCTCTGTATTTCCTGTCGCTAGTCAAGAGGACTTGACTTCTTGTCTGCAATATGCAAAGGAAGACAAGTGTTTAACCCAAGCGTTTCAAGATGCCTTCTCGAGACTCTTAATCTCCTTATAATGCCATCCCACACAATCAAGTTTATCAATTGTATGCTAGGCGCATTACTGTGGCTGACATTGTGTACAACAAGCGCAGAGCTTGATGAACACGAGGCCGGAAGACCTGGTAGAGAAAATGGCTGGCTAGCTATTAAAACTGAATATTACTGACAGAGTCGCTGGTGTCGAAAACGTACACATGGCATAATTTGAGTTTGTGACACAGTTTCAAGGCACTATTACGTTCTGTTGGCGTTCCGCTGTGGCTGTTGGCGTAAAAGAGGAGGTATCAACGCGGTTAAAGTTCTGGCTTTGGCAAACCACAAGCGCCACTGAGAAGGGAGAAACTTTTTGGAGAATCCGCGAGTATATAGAAACTTGCTGTTCTCCTACCAATTTTCCCCTCCATCTACTTGAAATTCGACACATTTGTACTGTGACCATCAGCTCAAATTCCAATTCTGAGTTAACTGTCACTTAATTCTGCCCCTGCCATGCCTTTAATTCACTCTCTTGCCGTTTTGGCCTTGATACCAAGCTACGCAACTCCCTTACCCGCACAATTACTGTCCAAAGCTCCCGCCGAATGGCATGACAGGTTCAACAATTCGCTCAGTCGAGACGAGTTCAGCATCCTCATCCGTCCGAACTTCAACAACGACGAGCCCCAGGATTACTGGCCGACAGCCGAGGTAAATCCCCCTTTCTCCTCAGCCTCCCTACCCACAAACCCCACAGCATCCACTCACAAACCCCCTAGCTTTCAACAATGACAATGGCACAAGCCCTGGACCCACTGCACCTCCTCTATCCCGCCGACTACGACACGCGGGTCCAGCACATCCTCTGCTACATGCGCGAAGACCCTTACTCCAAGAACTTCAAGGAATCCGAGCGTCAATATTTCCCCGTGAAATTTCCTGACGGGACTGAGGTCAAGCATCCGCCTCTAATTATCGCACCCGGCCATGCGTGCACGTTGTGGGGCCAATTGCATCATCGCGATTATGATAATTTGCAGATTACGTTTGGGAATATCTTTATTGATGTGCCGACGGAGATTAGGAGGTATGAGGATATGAAGGGTAGGATGGGGGCGAGTGAGGTGGATGCGATGAAAGCGGGACGGTGTCGGCTTCCTGAGAAGGATGTGGGGCCTGTTTGTTGGTTGCCGAGGGATGGAGGGGTTTGAGTGCCGTTGGGGTGATGGATGATAGATGGAGAAGGTGGGGGATGGTATGTGTAAGGCTTGTGGAGGATGGTAGATTGTCTACCTTCAATGGGTTGATGACTTGTACTGTCTGATATATCCCTTTTGTCAGTTTCATTGCCGCTATGCAGTGTTCTGCTTCACCATTTTCCATCTTTCTCTTCGAGTCGACTCGATAATTTGACCTGACCTATGGTTGGAACGTGGCTCCGCGCCATGGTGATCCATTGTATGGTGTTATTGAGCAATTCGTTACACTTTGAGCACCCGAACAGCGCGGCGTGGTAAGCAAGCTCGACGATTTGTCAGTGCGCTACTATTGCAGAGACCCATTTATAGGTAATGCTGCAAGACACCCTGTACTATACAGTAGTGTTAATATTCAATTAGACCTTCTTTCGTATCCTCTTCGTCTACTGTTCATGATGATAAGTTCGTGATGATACATTGTGCGTAGAGCATGCCGTCAGTATTTCCCCCAGTCGTATAGCTACGTTTAGGCTAGCGCAAAGTCTACGCTTCGGCCATTGTGGCGGCTAAAGGTCCTGTACACGATATAATGAGATCAGGCTACATGTCTGAAGCGGACCCCGACCTACAATTTGCCATCATCTTCGCACCGCCCCACAAAGATTTCATGGGGCAATTCTTTGATATCGGGATCAGTGATCTGCGCATAGTACATATCAAGAACGATCACGAAATGCTCGTAATCTCTGGGCTGCGTGCGGACGAAATGCTCGCCTGCTTCGCTGGTGCTGTAGCTATTCTGCGCGAGGAACTCGTCCGCAATCTGGAAATCGAGCGGACTGACACTCGATCGGATTCTGATAAAGATTCTTTTTGGTGTGGGGGCAACTTCAGCCATGATGCCCACATCATTTGCAAGTCAAAAGTCCTGAAGATATGCACGCTCGGGAAGACCGTCTCCTCAAAATGTGCGGGGTATCGTGACAAAGAAAGCTTAGTGCTAGGGCTCGCCTGATTTGATCTTGGCGCAATTTCCCTGTCGAGATTTTCGTTTGATAACACTGACAATGTTTTCCACATGCTTCGTTCTTCTCATGGCGAAACATATCGGGACAGCATCTCCACTGAAGGCTGGGAGGCGTCATTGGCTCCCCCAGCGATATTCATGGGTGTAACACATCGCAAACCTGACCGCTTTCTGATCGAGCTGAGTGAAGGTTCTAAGTCTCATGAGCTTCAAGCCGCAGTGAAAATGTCTAATCTGCTTTCTGTTTACAGCGTGTCGTCCGCTTGGTACTTTCCAGCCCAGACCTCATGGGGTACCTTCTGAATATCAGGATTTTCGTTTTCCCTATAGTCGATGTCGAAAACGATATGATAGTGTTAGACTGGGGTCTCGTAATGAGGTTTGTGCTTGTTTCTCGTATCAAATGGACCGTAGCCATGTGACTGGAGGAACGCTTCGCATATACGAACGTATTCTGGGTTGCCGACTGATCTGAGCCGCAAGAAGATTCTTTTTGGAGGATATGCACCTGCATGCGCTTCAGCTTCATCTGTCGTTTCGGACATCGTTGCTTTTTCAGCCATTGTTCTCGACGATCGAGATATGGTTGAAGAACGAAATTTTGTGTACGAGATAGAGACTATTGGCGGGGTAAAATTCGAAAGAAGTCTAGCCTTGGGCTTCTGATCGGCGTCGCCCGTCGCGACAGAGAGGACTTGTTTGTTTAATCAAATGCGATATCGTGAGCTCCCGCTCTGGACATTCTGCATGATCGTAGCTGGAGATTTGAGCACCGGAAAAGCCAGAGTCTTTACATGGACAACCCGTTTCGTGGGACACCCCAGGAGTCCTAGCTGACTCCCGGGAAGGCTACAAGGCAGAGACGGCGGTGAACCCTTTTTCTTGTGATTGGGTCGCTGGGGCTCACTTGCATGAGTAGTCGCGCTACCAGTGTATCCGAACGCTGCTGCGCCCCTCAGCGGTGGGGAAATTTTCATTATGTATAAGAAGGTAGCAAACCTCCCCTCATCTTTTTTGACTCTTTGCGACCTGGAAAAACCCCATGCTGGGACAGATACTCAACCATCTGTTCAGGGATGGCAACGATCTTCGCATGGACTCCGTTATCCGCATTCGTAGGGAATTTGGGACGAAGAAGGTCAAATGACCTGTGAGGAAAAGGCGGCCTCTTACTCCGTAGAATGACGCAGTATTCGCGCATCGAGGCTTTTGAAGAAACTACTATCCTGCCCGAGAAGATGCCCTTAGCTCTTACTGACTCTGCGGGTGATCCTGTATATGACCATGAGTCCTCAGCTTTGCCTAGAGTCATCGACAAGCCCTATCAATTCCGAGAGGGGACATCTGGAGAGCAATTCGACGGGTTAGAGACGAATGTGACGAGACTTTCCGCACAGGAACGTGAACTTTCCCATATTCCCTTTAGCTTAGAGCCTATGGAACAAGACTACGTGCTCCGTGAAGTGAATGCTCGATTGTCTCAATGTGCATTTGACTTCGTCGCCAAATATCAGTTTCCAATACAACTGGTGGATTACAGAAGTACTGCGGAAGTGGATAACGACTTAGAATGTGCCTCTATATTTCGCGCATCCACAAACCGCATCTATGTTGGTAACTTGCCAACGTTTGTTTCTGAAGATGACATACGTACCCATTTCTCGATCGGATCAGAAAAGATCGTGAAGGTCAAGGTTTTGCACGGCTTTGGCTTTTTGGAGTTAATGAATGGTCTTGCTGCTGAGATGACTGTGTTACGTTTTCACGGTTCCGATTTATTTGGTAATCGATTAAGAGTGCAATTGGCGCGCCACTTACCAAATAAGAACCAAGATCCTCAAGACGTCAAATCCCTTCGAAGACTGCAGCTCAGGCAGAAAATCTTGAATAGCTTCCAATGAGACCACGGAGACAATGGACCAAAGAAAATTTACCACAATGTGAAAAGGAAGAGCTACCACAAAGTGAAGCGTGGTCTTTCAGGTTCCATAAATGACTGCGACATTCCCGCCGTTGCAGACACTGGAGCCGAAGAAAACATCATGTCCGCTTCATTTGCCGGCAAGATGGGCCTTGTACTTGCTGGCAGAGGCAAGACGTTCAAACAAGGCAACTCGACGCTGATCGAGTCCATGGGTGTGAACACCATTCATTTCATCGAACAAAAATACGACATCCATGCTGACGAGTTTACCGCAGGAACTGTCAGTGTTCAATGGTCTTTCGCGAACGAAGCCTCAAAAAAACTGAAAATAATGTGTCATGTGTTGCCTGAATGCCCATATGATCTTCTTCTCGGCCGCAAGTTCCTCACTGCAACAGAAACGTTGTCGAAATTTCGAAAACGACTCACAAGTTGCCTATTTCGCGCCAGTGGAGTGTCAAGTATCAACCTCGTCGGAGACAACAGTATGTATCTAGACGGATTGTTGGGGGACGATATTGCGGCTTCGGGCATTGCAGACACAGGAGCTGAGCGGAACGTGATCGATTACGAGTGAGTTACACGAGTGTTGAATCACTGTCGCACTGACGCATGTAGCTATGCGACGAGTCGTGGTCTAGCCATTGATGACGACGCTGAAGCTTGCGGATATCTACAATTCGCAGACGGTACGACGCAGCCAACTCTGGGTCAGGTGAAAACTACGTGGACATTGCAAAATGGCGTCGCAGTTCCTTTGACATTGGAAGTTCTCCGCAACTGTTGCGCAACATTGATCCTCGGCGAGGACTTCCTCTTTGATAATAACGTATTCGACTCATACGAAACCCTCGTTCTTGGTGACGAGTTCGATACATCGTACCACGAACCCCCTCTACTCGCTCCTTTTGCGTACAAATCTTCCTGGCAAAAAGCCTTGGAAGGACTTCTCCATCTTTCGAAGAGAAAGACACGAAGAAGAAAGAGGAAGAATAGTGTGAGCGCTGCCAAGGTCTCCAGCCCTGAGCGATTGAGAGCAGAAGAAGAGCAAAGGAGAAACATGTGGAACTACCAATATGGCTTCGACGGATCGAGGACCACGACAGGTGAGCGAGAGCTCGAGCAGCAACGTAGATCACAATTCAAAGCTACCTCGCGCCAGGCTTCTGAGCAGAACAGGCCGCCAAGGATCCCGAGTATCCCGACGCCTGTATGAAGGCTCGCCTTTGCAAGATTGAGGTAAATTGGTGAGTTTTCAGACACAAAACAGGTTCTTGGCATTATGCAAGAAATGGAGGATCCTCACATCCCAGTGGCCGTTGGAATTCTGTTGCCGACAGATAGCTGGAGAGTACCTTTGATGTGACTTCATTCACTGTTTAGAACACAATTCGCGACACACGATGAACTACTTACGTTCATTAGACATTTCAAAGGAACTTCAAGACACTAGTCTCAAGCGATTTAGTGACTTCAGTACTTTGTCGAAAAGAATTCCTTAGGGAAGGCACCGATGAATTATATATTGATTTATAAGCGCTAAGTTAGAAATTTGAATTACTCGCGAATTACTCGGGTAAATGGTGGGTAATTCGGATTTTGATTTATTAAGCGCTTAGTCAGGAATTTGAATTACTTATGAATTCCTCAGGGAAAGCGCGAGTAAATGCCTTTTGCAGCTCCTAATCCATCAAATGACTCGTGGCTCTAGTCGATCGGTACGGAGTTCCCTTTTGGCCTACTCCTGGCCATACAAGCTTTCTGTTGGAACAATGCAGGCAGACCCAAGGGTTTCCCTCTTGCTTGAAAGTGGTGTATGCACTCACTTCGTAAATTTTACTTGTTGGGGATCTAAAGTCTCATCAGCTTCTCTGTTGCTTGAAACACTTTTTAGCTGGCCCGTCTTCAAAAGAGACCCTTCTTTAGACTTTCCCACATCTCGACAAATATACCAAGACGATTTAACGATTTACCCGTCGAATAATTACCTTCTCGAGGGGTATCCTATGATATTGTACGTGTTGAGAACTTCGTAACATGGCAGATCATTCGACAACTCTTAGTTTGCTTGGTAGACTACCACTAGAACTCCGCAACTTCATCTACCATCACACCGACATGTTGCCCAGTTCAGCCCTCCTGCGTAAAGCGAAATGTTTGATCGGGGTTCAAGATCGTGAAGCTGAGTATGCACTCTGAATTCCCGTACCAGAATCATGCGAATCTCGCCGAATGGGGCTTGTGATCGCGCTGCTGCTGCTTTTCAACGCCGTGGATAGTGAAGTCAGTGATGATGCAATTATCAAGATCTCCCACAATATTGAATCATGGAGTGATGATACGGGCTTTGCTTTCGATGCCATCCTGGTCTTCAAGCCTGGAAAGCGGAATAGGCGCATGTTTGACCTGAGGGTGGGTTGTGGCTTGCTTTAGCGGGGGATATTGAAAAAGTGATGGGGGTGGGGGCTGGGATGGATGGGGTTTGGTGGGATGGGTTTTATGGGGCGCTGAAGGAGTTGGTGGTGCATGAGCTTGGGGTAGCGGTCGAATGGATGAGGCGGTGGTTTGAGAAAGTGAAGAGAAGGAGAGGAGGGGTGGAGTGGGGCTCGGTGGTGGTTGACCAGATGTGGAGTTGTAGAAAGGAAAGAAGGCTTACTTATACAATTTCAGGCGTCCCCGAGGGCGTAAGGGAGGTCTGTAGTGCAAAATTTGCCACGTCGACCATGCCTTTGGCTTTGCGGCGACGCCACTTGGCTCTTATGGGTCTTTGTGGAGTCTTGGGGCGTCTCGGCGTCAATATAAAACAGCTCAGAGGATCTTTTCCCAGACACCAATCTGAGAGGACCACAAATGATGACGTATCGGCTGATGTCGCTCTTAGGTTCCGGACGCATTCACGGACGATAAGCACAATGAGCTTTCTTAAAACTGGTACTCCGCCCAATGTCACCTGGAGATACAGAGAAGACGACAAAAGGGCATTGATACAATTTGATTACATTTCAGTACATAAAAACACCAACAAACCCATTGAGCTATGCCCATCCAGCTCCATTCAATCTCCACCGAAATCTCAGACCTCTCGTCTGCATACCCTACCAAGCCTCCTTCCCACTCTTCGGCACCCAACAACTAACACCCTTACCCTCAACAGACCTGCACCTCCCCGCATCATGCGCCTCGCCCAACGGCGTCCTCCGCACCTTGAGAAGCGCATCAAACTTCCGAATCTCCTCCGGCACATCGAAGGAAAGCTCCCCACCATACCACAAATGCAAATGATCATAATTCCTGTTCTTCCGTTCTAAGAAATGCGTGCACGTATGGCCTGGCGTCAGGTCAAGGGTTGGGGCGACGAGGCGAGGGTCGTCGGTGGGGAGGGCCGGCAGGGTGATGTTGAAGGTCTGCTTCACGTCTTGGTGGAAGGGAGCTTCGCATTGGATGGATCGGGTTTCGATGTTGAAGTCGTCCGGCCAGATGGTTTCGTTCGAGGGGTTCCAGTCGGGTTTGAGGGCGTAGGCGAAGAGCTGAATTAACTGTGTTAGTTGAGAGTGAAGTGGAGTGCTAGGATGGGGGTGGTGGGGTATGAAGTGTGAGGAGAGGGATTGAGAAGGAAAAATGATCAGGGATCCGGCGTGTGAAAGTCAGAGAATGTTGCAGACTGCATATGCCACGCCATGCCTGATCTTGCAAGCTTGACAGGTCGCGTTGTCGCGGAATTGCGCAGCAATGAGACTCACTCTCGCACCGTCTCCACTTAGTGGCCGAGTGTTAAAGGACGGTATGATCAGGATGCCAACCTCGTCCCTACTCAGCGCATTGACAAATCCATCGCGCATGTAGGTTACGATGGCGGGATCATCATGATGGGCTGGGGCGGCGAGGACGAGGGAGAGCAGCGCCATCAGGACAGCGATGAAGAATTTGGAGAGCATTGTGGATAGACACTGCTGTGGTGGTTAGTTGGGATTGGGAAAATCGAAAAAAAAGGAAGTTGCTGGTATGGACGTTATATTGAAGAGAATGAATGAATGAATGATGCTGAGATCAGAATGGGACATTCTAAGGTCTTTATATTGTTTACAAGAGACTAACAGTGTCCTCTTTCCTGGTGGGGCTTGTGAAGTTCTTTGATCTCCACTTTTAGAGCTCACGATACTCGATGTAGCGCCACAGGTGGATCTGAAGAATGGAAATATGGTGGTAGGAATCTTAGAACGGTACGAAAGCGTGAATGATCAGAGCACGTGGCTTTTCTTGAGCTACTGCGCACCTCAATGCAATTTGAGAGTGGAGTGCATTGCTTCAGTAACTTTCAAGCTCTTTGCCACGATTGCAAAATGGCAAGGAATAGCAAGGAATTGGAGCAGGTATGGAGATTTGAGCATTGATTAACCTCAAAGGTAGATTGTAGATTACGTCTAGGACACAAATTCACTCCTTGTATTGCGATCACTCTACATCACGTGGACTCGATAAAAACATTCAATTCTGTCGCCACCCATCTCGACATCTTGCGCTTGCGATTGAAATGCACCGCTGCGGCGGCGAAACCACCGTAGACGGCGTATCTGCGGTATGCAAAGTTACTCATATGATCACACCATCCAGCTAGTCCAGCTGCGGGAATGACTTACGCAGGAATGACCAAGAAGCCTAACCAGAACTTTGCCAGGACCACATCCGCATTAATTGTTGGCCAGCGAGAATAATCACTAAACGGGCCCACAGACGGGTGAGAGCATGGACAGACATCTTCCAGCAAGTCGCAATAGAGCCAAAACCACCACTGAACGCTCCACCCTAGAACACCCACTAAGGAGCCTATGAGCGCGGAGTTGGGATGGAGAAGTCCCCTGTTAAAGAGAGCGATGTCTAGAGCGCAGTGCCAAAAGCTCAAGAACGGAGCCGTCATGCTGTAGAAAACGATCCAGCTTGGGGACTATCAGCAAAACACTCTTGGCAATTGGATAGGAAACTCTTCTTCATCGAGTAGAAGGGATGTAATGAGATGAGATAAGGGATATGATGCTGTACCTTGTAGACAACACCGAACTGTCGCGCCGAAGCGAATACTCCTCGCTATAACGAGCGAAGCGAAGCTGCGAAGCGAAGATCGCGGCCAGTGTGAAGGTGATGGCGGAGACGGCCAGGATTGCGTAGAGCATATATCGGACGCATTGGAGCCGCCCGTCCCAGGCGCAGCTGCGAATTAGGAAATGCATGCTGAGAGAGCTGATGGATCGACGATGAAGAACAGAAGAATGAAGCTATTTGACTGTCACGTTGAGATGTAGACGGAAGAACGGTAAAGATGCATGTACAGACTGGGAATGAAAGTCGATGTGGATAAGACCGTTGGAGTAAGTTTTTGGTGGCACCATGATCCGCTCATTAGCTCCACATACCCTTTTTCAGCGAAGTCACGAGCTGCAGAAGTGGGTATGGGCGTCCACAACAAGCCACAGTCGCGAACCATGTGTCCCGATCGGGAGAAACGAGGTCCCATAATGGCGTAATGGAGAGTCCTTAAAGACACAGCGAGATGTGCGGACATCGAGGCAGGGTCGAAATGTCGTCAAGCTTTGGTTTCCACACCTCCTTCGTCAACGCATCTGATTGTGTTTCTGTGTTTGCGTTCGGAGCTTCGTCAATCTTTTAACCGTTTCGGTTTATTCATCCCTGATATCACCTCACCGTTCACCCTCGCTCTTGTGCGAAGAACTGAGGAACGTGAAATAGGGTGTACGTTTCAGCATTTCGTGGCATCAATTGGGAAAAGCTTGCTAGTAGTGGCTAGGACATGTGTTGCACTTTAGGAGGTTTCTGGCCGAATACTGGATCCTCACAACCATGACCATTGAGCAAACTCGCTCCAGTATTTGACATTGAAAGGAATTTGAAAGGTTGTATATCGATTTCGCCAATTTGCACGCCAATTTGCACGTGGTGGGGGCGGTTCGAGCGCCAAGCGGGGCTAGGTCCAGATGGAGAATAGCGCAAGAGCTAGCCATCTTAGTCTTAGGGTCATCCCGCATCGTCTTCTTTCTTCGTCATCTGTTGTTCATCCATCCTGCATACTTTTATCGTCTTGGTATCAACTCTTCCGATAAAATGATATTATTTTATCTCCCCATGGCCTTGAGTCAATATGAGAGGCCGATCCATGGGGGCCTAGAGCCCTGCTCGGGAATAAGATTTGGATAGTGTGGCGGTACACGTTCACTACTGGGATCTAGGGAAAGCAGAACTAACGGTACATCTAGCCTCTGCCTCATCGTCACCGCCGAGGATGTCCGATACGCGTCTCGCGCATCATGATGGTGCGATTCGTACCGGGCATGGCCGGGAAAAGCGATTACGAGTGTTTACTTTATGGACATCACCAGTCCGGAACAGTAGCAACATGTTTTGGGGATCTCGTCCTTACTTCTGACCATGAAATCAGAGATGATCTCCTCAACTGGTCCGGCCGCCAACGTTGCTCTCCCTCAAATCACACTCGATACAACTCTCAGCGAGCTGTACCGCAAGTTTTCACCATTGGATGGAGGACAAAGTGTAGCATATCTGTTCTATGTTCCCATTTCAAGTATGGACATCACGACAGATTTCCCCCGCAATCGTAAATATATCTATCAGGAGACTACTTTCAACAATTTGTCGCAGGAAGCACCAAGTAGAGAGACTGATAAAGCACTTCATATTGATATATTGAAATATCTCCACGGTCTCTCTCAACGAGAAACTTTTCTGGCTGGCGATGCGCCCGTCATATCCTTCTACTCGAGCAGTTCAAAGGCTCGCGCAGAGCACGATAGGCATCAGTTAGCACGGACATTGGATACCTTAGACCCACACCAACGGCCAAACATCATCTTCTGCTCAGGCCCGAAAGCCATTCCCCTGAAGGAGAACGGCATTGATATCCTATCATACAAATTCGTCCTGGATGGCATCGCGGATTACCCCCTAAGGTTTGACCTTGATAAGCACTGGTATCTCAATTCAAAGGAAGCGCTTGCAACATCCGGACTGCCAACACCAAAATGCGAAGTCATTCATTTAGATGGGTGCATGCCCCATGCTAAAACTTGCTGCAACATTTGTAAAGACATTTATGACGGCTTTGTGCCCTCTACGTGCACAGGAATACGCGGCGAATGGTTGCACAAAAGCGTCCAGAATGTCGTTAGCCGCATGGCGCAACGCCCTCTGCCATTCGTAGTCAAGAACACCCAAGCCTACGCCGGCGCGGGTACCTACGTGACCAAAAGCGAAGAAGAACGCACTCAGCTCATCGAAAACTTCTCGACTCGACTCCTTCCCATCCTTTTCTCCCACGTCACCCCGGAAAACCAACATCTGAAACCTGGGACCATCCTCTTAACTGATTGTGTTGAAGATTACATCGGCAATTTCTCCATCAGCTTCTTCGTTGCCCTCGACGGCTCCGCAACCTTCCTCTCCGTCACCGACCAAGTCCAGGACTCCCAAGCCTGGATGGCCAACATCATCACATACTCCCAGCAGCCAGCCCTCGAGCAGAAGACCACGCCCCTCATGCGCGAAATTGCGAAATGGTTGCACGGACAAGGCTACTCCGGGCCCGCCGGCGCTGATGTGATGGAAACGGCTGCCACCCAGCCCCAGCCCCAGCATATCAATGTGAATGGCAATCTGGCAAATGGCAACCTTCTAAATGGAACTCTCACAAACGGACACCACCCAAACACCAACCTATCAAACGGAACCCTCCCACCCAACGGCCACACCAACCCCCAACCCCAACCCACGCCTAGCGCACAACCAACCTCCTACATCATCGACCTAAACATCCGCTCAACAGCCTCCTTCTCCCTCGCCCTCCTGCGCACCCATTTCACCTCCCGCGGCCTCGACTGCGCCAGCTCCTTCGCCATCACTACGGGCGCTACCAGAGATGAGTTCCTGATGACGTGGAAGGAGGACTTTGAGGCCGGCAGGATCGTGGTGTTGAATTGGTATGAGGAGTTTGGGGGGTTTGAGGGGGAGGGAAGGGAGAGGGGTTGGAGGGGGAGGAGGAGGAGGAGGGGGGGGGAGGAGGGGTGAGGGGGGGTTGGAGGGGGAGGGCATCAGTTTTGCGACGTTGGTGGTTGGGGGGAGGGATGAGGAGGAGATGAGGGAGAGGGTGGAGAGGGTTAGGCGGGTTACTGATGTTGTGGTGTTTTAGAGAGGGAAGTGGAGAGTTGAGGTGAGGTGGGTGGGAGGGTGAGTGATGACGGCAATGGGAAAGGGGGAATGATGGCGTTTGTGCAAGCTAGGAATGAAGGCAGGGGGATTTATTGACTTCCCCCCTCGCGTTAAGAAAAGTTGAGAAAAGTATTGCATTGGAAGCGCAGTCTGAGATGTTCATACGTAAAAAACATTGATGATTTTGACGACCGTTCCTCTGCCCTGATCCCCTTACTGGTGCCCCACCAACTTCATCCAGCCAATCCCCTCGTATCGTCTACCCAAAAGAAAACATCAACGCCATCTTAAACCTTAATGATATCCCAGTCTCACAATCCATACAAACGAGAGCCTTCCCCACCTTCCCACCTTTCCACCAAATAAGACACAAAGAGTCCACCCCTAACTATTAGCCCTAGAATCTCGTTCGTGCTTTCATTATTTTATTCTTAGGTGCGTTGTGTGAGCGTCACTGCGATGGGATACGTGTTTATTGTTTGGTTGAATGAGGGTGGGAGATGTCGCTGTGCGTCGGTGCTGTAGATGCGGTGGTTGGGTTGTGATCTGTGGTTTTATTTGAAGGTGATTTATTTTGGGCTTGCGATGTTTTCTTCCTGATCTCGTCGCGTTTGTTTGACGGTAGTGGAATACATGTTCGTTGTTGTTTTTGGCTGGATAAGAGTTGCGATTCGTCGCTGTCGCTGCTGGGGGTACGGCGTTTAGCTTGGATTCATTATTCTTGATTATTTCGTGCTCTATGGCGTGATATTCTTTTGTTTTGACTTCAGGGGTCTGTCGAGGTCTTTGGATCGGTGGACATTCGCTTGTGATTTGTAGCTTGTGATTTCGCAAATACATCGTGCGAGGAATGTCACGTTCTGAACGGACGGGTGAGATTTAGGCTGTGAGGAAGGTGTTTCTGGAGGAGTCTAAGACAATGACGCACGTAGGCTTTTAAAATCTTTATCGAATTGCATTTTGATGGTAGGTCTGCTCGAACTCCTGAATTTGCGGTCATCGCCAGCTTATTTGATGATGAATTCAGTCGTAGGAAACGGCAGCTGCCCTTCGTGCAAGTCTTCCAGCCAGGAAGTATCATTAGTATCATAGCTTGGGTCTGATTGCTTTCTCGCCTCTACCAATGCTTCCCCATCCATGAATCCATGCATGTAGGACTCGCCAATCAGTGTATACTTTCCATCGCTTAGATCTGGGCGTAGTATGATGGGGACTTCCCCACCCATGAGGATCGCTACTACATCGCCTGGTCTTGCCCAACCTGGCACGACACCGAGACGGCGGTACTTGGTAAATGCCAGGTTTTGCCCGTGCATATACTGCTTTTGAGACTTTATGAGTGAATGGATATACCCTTCAGTTTTTGGTTCCTTTGACATGGATTGTCGGTTCAAACGCCTGTCGAAGAGTAAGGGATCCAAGTCTAGGCAGGCAAGTCTTGTGTAGCACTCGAACGCATCTTCAGAGGTTGGCAAATAGACAAAGTCTTTTGAACAAAAGTTCACTAGCTCCTGTTGCTCCTGAAAATCTAGGGTACGATCTCGAGGAATATTCAAAATTTTCTTCTGCATCCAGATCATATCTGTTTCGGTCTCTTGGTTGTTCATTGCGATAATCGAGTCCCAAAGAATTCCATGAAGCCTGATCTCCATGTAAGATGAAGACAAGCGGGACATGGCTTTGGAAGAGGCGCTACAATGATAAGGTCTAGCAAGGGATACTGTCATTCGCAACAATGGAGATCTTACTTTTGCACGCCAATCGGGCACCCAAGATGGTAACATGGCATGCTGCTCTCCAGGGCATACATCACGGAAGATGTCAAGATTGCCCGAACTTGATATATATCTAGCCGTTGACGCTGCAAACGTCTCTCGCCAAGGCTGAGAGTAATCGACCTCAATCAGTGAACCATTCGTAATGATCCCCTTGATGCTGTATACCAAATCGCGTGGATCCTTGCAACTTGTCCCTCGCCTCCTGCTGATTATCGTGAAGAAATCACGTCTTTCCTCACCAGTCCTGAAACTTTTCGACTTTTCATCGCTTATAATCTGGCTACCTTTGTTAAGAATGTGCAAATCGAAGAACTTATCGCCTGTGCTACGGTGTAACCACAACAAGCTTCTTAAAGCTTTCACAACATCTTCTACAAGAAAGAGGTGAAGGCCCCAAAAAAAGGTCTTTTCGCGAGCGACATAATATTCTTGAAAAGTCCAGGCCCTATCAAACCAGGAAATGGCAAATAGTCTATCTAGAGACTTGATGGCGTCCGTTGATGGCAGCTTGAACTTGGCTTTTATCTCATCAGCATTTTTAGACGTCACCATAAAACCATTGAGATCCACGTAGCGAGCTAAGTCTTCCTTCCGACTCCAAATATTTGTGACTAATTGACGGACACATGCAAAAGCATCGGATGCGTCATTCTCCTCGTCTTCACCCAGCCAGATCAGGACGCAAGAAGCCTTTCTGTAGATGTCACTCATCATATGAACTTGGTGAGATCTCTCCTGCAAATTCGCTTGATTGATGCAGACACTATCCACCCACAATGTCCGAGCGGAGTCTTCTCGGCGAAAACGACGCAAAGCGGCCGCAAGATTCTGGGTAATCTTCACTTGGTGACCGTCGCAATTCAAGTCGACTGGATCAGTTTCACTACCCCACACGTAGCTCACTGCCTCATAGTACAGCCTTTTGTCGAAGTTTGAAACCCTCAAATGACCCTGCAAAGCGTCGCCTCGTTTGCCTGGCAGAAGCTCAAAGAGCCTCACGCATCTTGTCGTCTCAAATGCATCGTAAAGATCGACTTGCGCCATCATGAGTTGTCGATGAATCACACTCGATGAGATATGTGTAGAACAGATGAAAATGGGAAGCGGGGCAGATGGGAGTGAGGTGCATATTGATGCCTAAGCACAGCCACCTCTTTGGCGAAGCAACAAGCTCCAAGCCACAAGTACCAAGTACCAGTTGATACAGACCATTCGATTGATTATCTAAGCATTATTACACTGATGGTACCCAGCAGGATTAATGTTAAACGTCCCCCCCACAACCAATTGCACAGAGGTGTCTGCGTCCGAGTTCGTCAGCACACCGCAGTACTGGCTCGTCCACCCAATGCCATCCGCCGTCTTCTGACCTCCTGGGTCCGGTGCTTGGAATACGACGATATCAGTGGATGGAATGCCTACCAACTCCAAGTCAGCAGCGTTTGCGCAAGCAAGGAAATCGGCCACAGAACATACCTACTGGTGCTTTATCGCCCGCATCCCACACCTTCGGTGCACTGGTCCCAGGATAAGATATCGGCATGTAAAGAAGGCCTGCAGAGAGATCGCATTGAGAGCCAGCGATAGCACCAGTTGCCATTCGATCGGCGTAGAAGAATTTCGGCCAGCTGACTACCTGCGCCATGATGTTGCCAGTTTGTAATGCTGCCTGGAAGCTCCCTACGCCTTGATTCACGATCTGTGTAATGCTGTTGGCATCGAGAGTGTGCGCTTTCTCGTTGGCAGTTGCGCATACGACACCGCCGGCCGGAACGCCCAGACCAGCAGCTGCCCGAGATGCGAGCTGTGAAGATCTCTCGGTGGGAAATCCGAAGGCTAGGTAAGGAGCAAGAAGAATGATTGGGAGGATTATCATGATTGACGTGAATAGGATATGGAAGTCGCAGGCGGAGAGGTCGAAGAGGTGGAGCTTTCACTGAACACGTGCTTTGACTGAGAAAGATGACGCCTTCTGGGGCCTTATGTACACAAAGATGTCGCGTGAATCTTGATTGATCATACTCGAACCGACGCCCAAGCAGAGTGGCATCGAGACGAAAGTGAAACCAGCATCCCGGACTTTCACCAGCAATCTCCCTGCGAAGGAGGAGGGACGGACAAAGCTTACTGTGGTGGAACGTGACGAAGCTCACCGGCTTATGCGTCGCCAAGCCGGATACTGTGGAGCTCAATTCCTACCTGCGACTCTTTTGAGCGACAAAATTGCGTGTCATATTTGGAATGGCATGCAAAACAGCACAACGAAGTAAGGACTGTCAGCTCGGTTACCGATTGTGGAGACAGGTACGAGCTAAAATCCTGATAGACGTCTTCCGGCGATTCCGATGGCTCCACAAATTGCCCGAAACCGGTCGCTTATAAAAAGCATGAGTTCCTGTTACGTTCATTGGCGGAGACTGTGGGGGCCAACAGTGCGAGAAAGTCGATGGAATCACTTGTGAAATTCTGCAAGAGGGATGGGCCCATATCAAGAGACAGCTTTCTAACAATTCTATGCCAAAGACCATGGGTGGCAAAACACTAGTATGCTATTTGGACATGTTGAGAGATTGATGCGGATCGTCAGGGACATCAACGGGGCGGCAGCTAGCTTTGCGGCTCAACATCCGAAACGTGCATGGCCGTGAAACTCTCCGCCATGCCGTCAGTGCGGGATCTGCCACGTTTTGACTCGCACCTGGTGCAAGAGGCCTGGATCGTGTTCGAGCAAAGAGGATAGTAGCCTATTGCCAGGCGTCTGACCTGGATGGTTGTGTCGAAGTTGATCACAGACGCTGAACACGCTTTGGGAGATATGTCTGGCGACTTCATGACATGCCGATCCCAAGAATCATCAAGGTTGCGTAAGAGGTCTCGTCGGTGGCGGTGTCTTCTTGCAAGAGGCTTCCATGATAGCCCGCTACAGCGAGGCATTTGATTTTTGGCGACGTCGAGCAGCGACAAGCACAGCTCGACATGTCCGAACGAAGCGAGAAGAGAATACTCGCTCCATAGATGCGTGAATCCGCTTGTCTCCAGGCCAAGTGGTCAACACGACCCGGCCGAAACAGTACGGCTCATACGAAATCTTGGAATGTTGTGATGTCAAGATCCTCTGCCCTGTGAAACAACTTTGCTGTCGGTGGAGCAACTTATGTTGCTGGGCGTTGATCTCGTGCAAATGAGAGTCATCGCATCTCCCAAGGGCTGAATATTGACTCTTGATCCTCCTCTTACCTGCACATCGCCGCCAGGGATACAAATGTGCATTCACTTCACTCATCGCACCTCAGCATCGTCGCACTGATGATATCCACCCACCCTTGCGTTAACCCTCCCATTCGCATACAACTCCCTCCCCTCCCCAGCGTCCGAATTCGTCAAGATAGCACAATACGAAGTCTTCCACCTCGTCCCAACAGCATCCATATACCCCGGCCCCCTCGTCTGGAAAACCAGTATATCAGTCGTCACAGTCCCGTACGGCTCGAAATCAACCACATCAGTCACCCGTGGCGCAGCAGTCCCTGGGTACGATATCGGCATAAACAGTAGTAACCCGCTCCATTTACAGTCTCCTGGCGTAACGACCGTGTACTGCTTCCCGTGGCCATCAGTGCCCATCATTGACTGAGGGTCGAAGGCGCGAGGCCACGGTATGGAGTCTGGCCCGCCGTCGCGTGTGCCAAGTGACTGTACCCAGCGCTGGTACGCGTCTCCGGCTTCGATCTGCACGTCGTTGATGTAATCTCCGTCGAGAAGGTGCGCGGGTTCGCGTTGTGTCTGGCAGATTACGCCGAGAGGCGGAGCGCCAAGTTGGGGGGGAGAAGGGAAAAGTTCTGGAAGGGTGGTGCTGGTTGGTAAACCTTGAGATGACGTGGAGAGCTGGCTTAGGACTGAGTGTGAAGAACTCTTCTGGGGAAAGCCGACATAGGTGGCGAGACTGGGGAGGAAGAAAGAGGCGGAGAGCGTGTAGGGCAGAGCAAGCATTGTTCGCCGGCGCGCCGGATTGATTTTACATTCTGGTGGCAACACGTGTGCTCTTTTCCTGTACGTAATGAGCTCTCTGTAGTGCTATAGAATACTCATGGTCTGGACGGTCGCGCGTCCTGGGGAAAGAGAGCACTCTTTGGGAAATTCTCGAGTCGCTTGTGGGATTTGCGATAATTCGTCATGCCAACATCTGAGCAAGCGACATGCGACTAGACGGGGGGCTCTTTGGCCATTTATCATACATTACCCGGTATCGCTTTATCCTCTTCAAGTCTAATATCCACTCTAATTATGATATAATAGCCACTTGGAAGCCCTGATTCAAGACCATTTTTCTTTCCGGCAGTCCTTCTCACGGTTGGGGAAACGGCGCAACTGGATGAGCCGCCAGCAATTCATTCTCTAATCTAGTCTCATATTGGCTGCACGACTTGCAAACAGGAGTCTGAACGAAATATTGTAGAGTACCTGACATCAATTAGTCGGTAATAGCAAACGTCTTGAACTATGACTCACAGGAGCATGCCTCGGCTCCAAACGACCCTTCTGGGCATTGCCATATACCACGTGCCATGCAGATAGTGGTTTTAGGGATGTATTGAGCAGCAGGACCTGAGAATTTCAATCAGTCGGTAGTAGCGGCTGTCTTCGAGTATGATTCACAGGAGCATTGCTCAGCGGAACTTGCCTGACATGGCCGGACGGTACAAGGTGGAGGGCCTCCCACTTCTGCTCCAAGTGGACTGGGTAAGCCGAGTGTCATGAAGGGTGATAGAGCCAGAATGAAGAGCAAGATTGTTGACACCATGATCGCTGAACTTCGGGATACTGCTAGTTGAAAGTTTGGCAATTGCTCGGTGTAGGGCCGCTGGTTCAGCAACAAGTGTAGATAATGAAGTAGCGAGGATTTCTAGACTCAATACAATTTCATCCAGCCTTGTATAATGTATTATTGTATAAAGGTCCGTCAACAGCACGGCAAGAATGTAGGAAAACTCAAGCAGAGCTTTATATTCAGAGACAAGACGAAGTTCGGGAAGTGTACAGCGTAATCACGGGAAGACTCAAGGTCACATCTTCTCGGCATCTTTGTGCCTGAAACCAGACGAGTACTGCTTGATCTCCATTATCAAACACCAGTCTTGAAGTTGAACCCGTGTCTCAAGCATTTGCAAGAATTCAACAACAGGAAATTAGATTAATTTGACCCGAACATGGTTCAGGCTAAGATGCGGAATGTATCAGCCTCCACGTGTCGACTTTCGCTATACGCGACCCGTCTAGGAGCATTTAGCCGCACCATCTGTATACCTGAAACTAAGCAAATTCGCTCGATTACGATGCTTTTCATGCTTTCAGGAACGGTGGAGGCTGTAGATTCGAGCTTTAATCTGATAATCAAGTCAGTAGGCTACATCGGTGGCGTTCGCCAAGTCCTTGCTGGCTTTAGACATTCGAATCCTTCGGTGCAGAGTTGCACGTGCAGGTCGAACGAGTGTCGGGCTGCCCGCCGATGGCAACGGGTGCAACGTGAGATAGTAAAAGTAAAGGTAAGATCGCGGGGTGCGTAGTTGAATACTCCAATTTCGTGCTTCGCCAGGTGGACCGTGAAGATTAAATGCTTGCTTTCTGAAGTCGCTCGAGAAAAATGTTTATACTATCCCATGTCACATATTGAGTACAGTCATCACTTAAGCAGCTCATCGAGAATTGTCTACTCGCGCGGGTTTGGCGGAACCTAATCACAGTGGCCATATACTCGCCGTGAGAATCTACTCCGTTCAATCTGAATACATTCTACCATCATTACAAAAGTATAATAGAAGGATAACCTTCTAGATCTTGCATGATCCTTTGACTTTGGTTCACGAACGATACGGACGAATTTGCGTTTTGGAGACTATGTGTAGGTTGTGGCGTGACCTTTGAACCTATGAGTCATATTCGTGGGTCTTGCGCACCGAATCTTCGTAGCATTCGAGGAATTCCCAAAACAAGGCCTGCACCCATGTCCTTACAGCAGAATCTTCGACCATATGGCATACCTCAAAGTGGTCTCCCATCATCTCGTCGCCGCCTCCAAAGAAGCTGACCGTACCTTCAACACACTAAATCACAGCCCTGCCGAGATAGAAAATGCACTCCCGAATTTCAGGCACCTCGAGCCTAAACCTCAGCCATGGCTCCTGCTCTCTCCTTGGCTTGACCTTGTCTTATCATCTCAGCGCATTCCACGGGACAGTGTGCACCAAATTCTTCTACCACGCTCTTTCCTCCTGTTCCTCAAACACGCGAGTGAATCAGCGCTACTCACTGGCCGCGTGCCTGAAGCGGACGCCGAGGAGCTTGCGGACTTATTTCCTACATCCACGATACGAGGCAAGAATATCGCTGCTCTTATTCAAAAGACGAAATACTTCGCCCGGCTTGATACATGCAGCCTCAAAGATGCCATCGTGGGCGAAGGCCCCATCAAGAATGTGAAGGATATCTGGACGAGGCTTGCGACATCTAGCCGGGGCATGATGGGTATACGAGATATACGCAATGCGGATCCTGAAAGCGATGTGTACCTTTGGCTCTTCCCATGGAACGAGAACATCCAAACGCGATTCGAGTATAGAGTCTTTTGCTGTCCGCCTGAAGGGGAGATGGTGGCGGTGTCGCAGTATCAATGGCACAGCAAGTGGTATCATGGTGAGAAGAAGCGACAAGAGCAGCACGATATTGCGGAGCGTTTGGTTATGAATTGTCAGGTTGTGCATGATCAGATCATGGAGCATTCTGCTATGACGGAGGAGATTAGGGAGAGCGGCTTCGTGTTCGATGTTGTGGAGGATCCGGATACTCAGCAGGTGGCATTGCTGGAGCTGAATGACTTTGGGGCTATGAGCTGTTGTGGTAGCTGTCTGTTCCAATGGATCAAAGATGCGGAGGTCTTGTATGGGATGAAGGTGGAAGAAGGGGTTGAAGTGCGAGTGGCATATTGACAAAGAAAGTCTAAGCAGTGTTGTATTCTAACACTTCAATCGTAAGTCGTTACTTGCTGCTACATATCAATTCTAACACTTCAATCGTAAGTCGTTACTTGCTGCTACATATCATGATCTTGACTCGGAAATGATTTGTATCGATAGAGCGCTAAAGTAGCAAAACAAAGTGAGCAATGAGACCAGCGCTGACCATACCGACCCCGGCTCATCGCGCCCTCGCATATTCAGTGAATGGGACAATATTGGGCGGTGGACTGGTGCTACTAAGGGTTACTAGTGCGCTCAACGCTGACGTGTAGACACTTATGTTACTTATTACTAATTGACAAAGTGCGAAGGTGAGTGCTCCAGTGGCCAATGACAGATCAGCCAACGCCCACCTTGGTAATACTATGAGCATGAAGAATTCTTTCTGGCAGATAAAGTCCTACTGTAAAGTTCATTGCCATTACATCTTGCTCCTACGCAGGGTATTCCAGTGCTTTGGAAGGTGGGATAAGTGCACACTCGTAAGTCGGCAAGGCTTGCGATCCCAAAGACCACAAGGCTTTAGTTCTGACGTTCTACCTACAAGATGTTCATCTAACCCAGTGCTTCAATCTCACAACACGGTTTATGATAATTCGCAACGACGGTGAAGACTCACAGCACAAGTCGGATAGCCGACAGGATCTTGAGGACTTAGTGGCTTCTCGACGGCGGCAAGAGACGCTGCTTGAGCAACTAAAGATGCTACGGATGTCGTGAACTCGCTGTTCTATTAATAGACTACGTTGCAACCTTGCGCTACAAAAGTTTGCGTTACTGTGGAGGAGGCTTAGCATAATTTGTCATGCTAGGGATGCGAGGGACTAGCTACTACCCAATTCAGCTTGGCTGCAGAGAACCGCTTCGCACGCGATTGTGACCCCTCGATACTGTGGAGAGCAGATAGATGTGAGGTTGCCTTCGATATCGTAGCCGAACGCCTCGAGAATAGTATCCCCTCGGCTGGTAGGTGCCTTATTTCAGGGGTAAACTCAAATTCATAATGTTTTCGTCTTAACTAAGTCTATATAGTCCTTCCAACACTCCTTATAGTTGTATATACTTACTTTATATATACTATAGCCTCTAGTAGTTTTTGGTATTCGTCTTTACTGTCGCTAATTTATAAAAGCGATTAAAATATTTAGCTATAACTTACCTAAAGCTTTTCGGTTTACTTGTCTCTAATAGGTATTACGTTTTTTTACAAATTTATATATAAAATATGTTCTTAAAAAACTAAAATTAATTATTTAGTATTTATATAGCGAGGCAGGATAAAGCTATAATACTAATAAAGCTAGAGTAATAGTTTATAGTTCTAATTATTTAATTAGATTGTTTATAAGGTTAAGTAAATATTATTTATATAAACTATAAGTCTTTATACTAGTATATAAGTTCTAGGGAGAAGTAATACTAGCGATATAGTAATTATTTATTATTAAGTCGACTAGGAAATAAAAAAAAGCTATTTAAGTCTTTTAATAAATCCTTTATATAGTATAATAAGATTATAGTTAGTTAGTATAGTCAACCCTATTTATATAATAATTATATATATTAATAAACCTAGAGATAGACAGTATTTTAGTAATATTCTTTTTAAAAGGTACTTTTAATATTTTTATATTAATAGCTATTTTTATAGGTTATTGTCGCTATTATTATATAGTTTATTTGCCGCTTTTAATAATAGTTATAAAAAGTATAGTTTTTTAGTTTTTCTATACTAACTATAAAATTTACTTATTATTGCTAAAAACCCTATATAACCTTCTCTAGGGGAGCTAGGTCTTATACTTTGTCTATATTTTAGCGATTTCCATTTTAAAACTATTATTCCTCTTTTTTAAAAGTTATTTTTTTTATTTAGCAGTTCCCAACTTTGCTTCTTATAATTTATAATTAGTTTTTTAAGTCTTTATAGTACTAGTTACACTAAAGCTATTGTATCTAAGCTATCTAAAAAGCTACGCTAATGTAAAAAGATTATTTATTTAGATAATATATTTATTAGGAATATAGTAGAGGTATTACTTTACTAAAAACTCTAAAATAATAGCTTAAGTATTAGAATAACTTTACTCCTTTATTTATTTAGAGCTTATATTTTTTAGTTTATTTATTTTTAAATACTATATCTAATTTAAAATAAAACCTTTATTTATTAAACACTATACTTTATATTTTTTAGATATTAGTTTACTTAGAATATTAATAATATACTTAAACCTCCTAGTAAATCTAATTATTGTCTTATTAATAGTAAAATATATACTAATGTAGAAAAAACGTTTAAAAGCTGCTCTTAAATATTTACTAAGGGGTTCTAGCTTATTAAAGACTTTATTTAACTTCTAAGTTTTACCTTCTAAGATATATAAAAATTAAGTAACCTATTTAAACTAGATTAAGCTTATTCGCGTAGTAATATATATATAAATAGGACTTAGATATTCTCTTTAGTTCTAAAGGTTATTTGCCCTAGTCTTTTAATAGATACCTAGCTAAATTACAATTCCTATATATATCTAAAGCTCATATAGCAATATTAGTTTCTAAGCCTTTATATATAAAGTAATTTCTAAAGCTTAAATTAAAAATAACTCCTTAGCAGTATATACGTTTATAGTATTAACTATAAAGCTAAGTATTCTATTGTTAAAAAACAAGCTAAAAATATTGTAGGGGCTATTAGTTTTTATAGTTTTTAGAATATATTTTTTTCCTTAAATATATAATTTTTAAATTTTTATTAGCTGAAAGCGCGGTATCGGCTAGGGAAAAAAGGCTTATACCTTCGAATTAGTAGCTAATAAGGGTAATAGGTCTGCCGGCACGTAATCTACGTTGTTGGATACTTTATTACAAGGCATAGTGGTTGTAATAATCAATAAAATAAAAAAAAAGGTGGCTGGAAAACGCGTAAAATTAGAGCCGGATTTAAGGCAGTTACCAGCCGAGGGGATAGCATGATTGCTGATGTCAGTCAAAGATTATCTAAGGGCAGCGTGAGAGAAGCTTACAGCTCAGCGAGGGTAAGAGTTGTTATCTGCTGGATTGCCCAAGACTTGCGTAGCTGACAGGGATGTTATGACAATAACAACGAAAGCTTTAGCCGGCGAGTAAGACATTTTTGATGGATGGACCATCCTTTCTATTATCTTTTTAATTCATGAAGGGGACGGGGAGAAGACAGTGCTAGCCTGAATCGAAATGCACGTGAAGTTTCGTTGCGCGAATACACCCAATCTTACATCGTTAAGCCTCGTGCGTCTTTAGAACCAGTGAAGCAAACACCTCTTGCGGAAATTCTGTAAGTTAAGTAGATCTCGGGACATTGTTTAGCCAAAGTATTGTTCGCGCATGAAAGCGGGCAGCGCTCATGATCGGGTGAGATCCTGGTGGTGTACTGAAGAATAAGGTAGGGTTGTTGACTGTAAGCAATTTAGCGAGGACTCTTGGGGCGGCGTTTTTGTTGCTGTTGGCATAAAATGCGTTGGATATGACTGTATATTCGAAATAGGTAACAGCAAATTGGTCAATTTTGGTCGCGTTTTATGCAAGGAATAATCTGGGGACAAAGACTTTTTAGGATAAGGAGGTTCTCGGGTGTATGAATCGGAAGGTTAGTATTATGACTATGTTGTCAGTATTGTGTAGCTATTATCATTTTAAGTGATCATGAAGGAATTGATGAACCTCCTCCCCCACGACATTGACGCGTGAATTCATTGACGAGAAGCGAGAGACTTTCCTTGGCTCTGAAATTGCCAGCACAATTGTAATGAAGAATTTCGTACGCGAAGGCTCGTTTACGCTAACAATTGATACTACATGGCGAGGAAGACGAAGGTTTTGACGGCACAGCTTGTCTGCAAGGTATGGTATGGGTTGGGAGAGGCGATCTCCGTGTTGAAGACTAAATTGGGATCTGTGGTTGGTAACGCAGGTGAGATATCTTGGTCCTGGGCAGGAAGGTTATTGTATTATTTAGGACGGATGGGAGCTAGTCTTTGGTCCGGAGCGAATTTAGCGCGGGGGGCATACATTTTTTGCAGTACAGCATTACGGACTTTTGTGGATGAATATGTCTTGGATAGATTACTGTTAGTGTTGGTCCTCATTTGGATGATAGTAAGGGTCCCAGAGCGTGTGGTGTGGTATGACCACTTTGGTTGTCACAACGGAGCCAAGTGGACAGTGATCTGGTCTGAGAAGCAGAAGAACAGTGCTAGAGACATTGGAGATACGCAAGGTATACAGATGTGAAAGCTTTGCCTTCATGTAAGAGACTTTATACAGCCCCAACGAGAATCTCTCAACGCATAAAACCTTTCTCTCAATGCTACAGTCTACCATTGACAAACCATCTAACGTGAGCTTAAGGTAATAGCTCACAAGCTTTATACCGTCGGCAAACGCTTATCATGAGGCATTGTTCTGATATCATCCACCAACGCAGCTATCAATCGCGAGATCAGTATCAGCATTCGAGTCAATGTTCAATGCACGATTCGAGATAGTAGAGACACCAGCCTCGTTGTCTCTAACTGCCTGAGCGGTAACTAGCTCAACTGTAGCGCCCGGACCTTCGGTGCCGGTTTCGAATACAACAGTCATATCCAACGCATTTTATGCCAACAGTAACAAAACGCCGCCCCAAGAGTCCTCGCTAAATTGCTGGCAGTCAACAACCTTACTTTATTCTTCAGTACACCACCAGGATCTCTCCTGTGATCATGCTTGCTTGCCCGCTTTATTGCGCGAACAATACTTTGGCTAAACAATGTCCCGAGATCTACTAACTTACAGAATTTCCGCAAAAGGTATTTGCTTCACTGGTTCTAAAGACTGCTTTTGAGGCTTAGCGATGTAAGATTGGGTGTATTCGCGCAACGAAACTTCACGTGCATTTCGATTCAGGCTAACAATCTATACTATAAATACACTTAATGAATTGAAAA